GTCGTCCACCGGGTCGACGGCCAGCTCTGTGGCGTCCCGTTTGTGCTCTCGCTCGGGTCGGACCGAACCACGGCCGAGCTCTACGCCGCGGTTCGCGACGAACTGAGTCGCGTGATGGCACCGACGGCAGCCTACAGCCTTGGCGCGATGGCCATGAGCAATCCACGGAAGACCGTCGAGCTGCCGTGCGACGCGACGCCGTTCCTACGGTATGTGACGCCGCCCGAGGTCGTCGTGCTCGAGTGGACGTCGCCGCCGATGTATGTGGACGACTACGCGTCGGCGCTGCGCCCGGTGACGCGCCACGTGCCAGAGTTGACCTTGCGTCGATGCCTCGAGTCGTTCATGGCCACGGAGCGCATGGGCGTCGACTGGGCGTGCGAGCAGTGCCAGAGCACATCAGGTGGCTCTCGCTACACGGACCTCGCGCGATCGCCCGACATTCTCATGCTGCACCTCAAGCGCTTTCACTACTCGAGCGTCCAGCACCACAAGGTCAACGAGCTCGTGACGTTTCCGCTGGAAGGACTTGACTTGAGCCCGTACTTGCATCAAGTCCCGTCCGACGTCAACAGCGGTCTCTACGACCTGTACGCGGTCGCCAACCACACGGGCGGGCTCAGCGAAGGCCACTACACGACCTACTGCCGCTTTGACCTCCCGAAGAACGACGACGTGATGCTCGAAAGTGTCGTGCCCACGTCGCACGTCTGGCTCTGCTTTGACGACGAAGTGGTGGGTGAGATCCCGTCGTCCAAGGTCGTCTCCAACGCCGCGTACGTGCTCTTTTACAAGCGCCGACTACCGTCGAGCACGAGCCAGCTCTACGCGCTGTGATGTGTTTCTTTTCAACATTGACTGTACACTACGATGCATTAGTAAACGTTGCGGCTGTCCGTTTGATGGAGTTGATGTGGCTCTCCCAGTGTCGCCGTCGCCTTGCATCCAGGGAATAATACATCATCTTATTTGTATTCCCTTGGTTGCATCCAGGGATCGTGTTTAAGACCACATTATGCAAGACGCATGTGAGCTGCCCAATCGCGTCCGTGACTCGAACCCACAACCTTCCTGACGCTCTTGTTGACGTCGAGGCAACCGTACAAAGATGCTTGGTTCTGAATGAGTTGCAACAAAAATGACACCCCCCATGGAGAATTGAGATTGTCGCCTTGGTCTGGCTTCATCTCCATGCGACGATTCCCTCGCTGGATTAATCGACTGTCTTCGCACACGTCGTGTGCATTTGTGCCTTTCCCACTGACCTTGAAGGGTGGTGATGTAGAAAGGCATTGGTTGTGCTGACCCTAGCCCCAGTCATCGCCACTGAGCCGATGTGTAGCATGTTGCGTAGTACGGGAAAAGACCGTTGACGTGGGCCTGTTCAGTCTTTGGCTGCAGGCAGTCGACGTAGCGTCGCTGCCGCTTTCCGTTCTGCTTTCGAGTACACTGGCTGGTGTTGAGGGAGTGCAGCCTCCGACTCTCTACTGCAACTGGTTGTTGCCAGGAGCGGAGTCGCACAGAGTTGGAGTGCGCCTTACGTTCCATGCACTGTTCGGTCGCGGCCGTTCGAGTTGCGAGTCTTATGTCACGTATGCACCGAAAGCCCATGCGATAGAGTATACATGTATTGATATATTTATTTACGTATGCAATCGTTCGCGCTGGCTCATGTGCTTCACCGTTGGACGTAGCCCGGGAGCGTGTTTTTGGGGCTGAAGCTGCAGAAGGCTCCCTTGATGTACGCGTCCGTGTGCGTGGCCATCTGCGCGATGGTGCAGCAGCTGCAGCAACACGCATACAAGCAATCTTCGCACGCGTTGCCGCGGATCTGGAACACCCGGCGGACGTTGTTGCGGATGACCCAGATAATAAGCCCGGTGGCCACATAGGCAAGCGAGCCGATGGCCTGTGAAATATCGGCGTTGCGGCACGCCTCGTCGTCATAGTACCCGTACTGTGCACTGCTCGGCATAGTCCCTCGCAAGCGGGAAAGCGATCACTGGCGCGAGGTAGACGACGCCAATGACGACGAGCGCACTGAAGTACGAGTAGAGACCGATGCGGTGGACGATTTGTGCGAGCGAGACCCAGGGGCAGATGCACGACATGCAGGCGTTCGGAACGACGTCCGTGCAGCAGTCACAGATGCCAACCTTCCAGTGACCGACCACGAGGCCGTTCTGGTCCACGAGGTTACTGACAGAAGTTGGCATGAAGGCGACGGGCTTGACGACGGCGGGCTGTGACGCGACCGGTTGATAGGCGACGGGCTGTGACGCAACCGGTTGATAGGCGACGGGCTGTGAGGCGACCGGTTGATAGGCGACGGGCTGTGACGCAACCGGTTGATAGGCGACGGGCTGTGAGGCGACCGGTTGATAGGCGACGGGCTGTGAGGCTACCGATTGATAGGCGACGGGCTTGACAACGGCGGCATGTCGAGGGCCGAGATGCGGGGTATGTCTTCAAACTTGGTGCTCCCGACTTCGTCGACGCTGGTCCACACAGTATCCGCGTAAAAATCAACGAACAACACCCCGTTCTCGATGCTGAGAGGGTGGTAGAGGCCACCGGGCCAGCCCTCGAGCTTGACGCGGAAGACGAGGAGCTTGGCCGAGCACGCGTCTTGGAAATCTTCCTGCACCAACGCGTCGACGCAGCCATTGGTGACGCACGTGACGAGCGACTGGAGGACGCCTGACGACGAGCCAAAAAAGATCTCGCCAAGGCGGTCCTCGTAGGGCTTGTCGATGGCTTTGTTGAAGGCGACGACGTCGCCGTGGACCTCGAAAGCAAAGTCGATGCCGAGGCCGCGCGGATGGCGGCGAAAGACACCTCGAAGCTCTCGGCGTTGTCCCGGATGTTTATGCGGGTCTTGAGCGGCAGCGCCTTGTTGGATTGCGTAAAGTTGAACGCCATCCTCGGCTTCTTGTTGCTGTTGAGATTGCAAGTTGAAAAATGAAGTTGGAGATGGCGCCAATGATCTATATAAATGTCGCCCCAATATGGCGCCTTGCGAAACGATTTTTCGGGAAAAGATATCTTTATACTCGCAAGACCGGAAGTGGCGCAGCGGCGACCGCGGGTGGCCAGGAAAGACACACCAAGTCCAGGCCGACATTGCCGCACGCACGACTCATGTCTTCCCCGCGCCTTGTGAGGTGGTTCCACTCCTGGCACACCGAGCGGCCTTCGCACGCGCGCACCAGAAAGCAAGATAAGAACTGAGTATTGCGTATTTCTGCAGGAGCCGACCACAACGGTCGAAACTTCCGCTTCACCATAGATATCGAGCTATCCACGCGTCCTCTCCAAGCCGATCTTGTGGCACCGGCGGATAACCTTGGTCAATCCGATCCGTGCATCAGCGACCACCAAGAGGCAGGTCGGCGAATTGTCCTGACCCTTTCATTCGCTAGAAGCGCCAAAATAATCGTCTGTGATACGCTAGAATTTCCGGATACACGTATTGATAGATTTGGGATTCAACTTGACGCGAAGGGCCTCCGCTAAGGGCGCCAAAGGAAGACTGAGGAGCGTTCGCTCGACCTCATTGACGGCAGGCAAGGGCCGCGCGAAGGGTCAGAAGACCAAGGGTAAGCCGACGACCGATGCACCAACCACCGATCGTGCCGAACCGCGCGCCGTCGTCGTGGACGTGATAACAGCAGTGGAGACGGTTTCGGACGCGGCGACGACAGTTGAAACAGCCACCGACGAGACGCCAACCAAGCCCCCAAGGCAATCAAGAAGCGTATCGTCGAAGAAGAGCCTGTCGTGTGGTGCGACGAGAGTATCTTCAAGCTCTTTCAGCTTCGGTACAAGTCGGAACTCACAAAGAACATGCAGAAGAACGACGCGGCTGAGTGTCTTGCTGCCGAGCTCAGTGCCCTCATGGGTCGTGCGTTCACGGTCAGGCAAATCAACAACAAGGTGCGGTATCCAGGCTTCCACTGCATCTCATCCCTACAAAATCGTTTGCTCGCATGCGAACTGCGAGGTCGACGTCCAAGCTGTCCAACCCAGCCAAAACTGGCAGCGACCCTGGACCAACGAACCCACCGTCGCACTACGATCTTATTATGCTCGAGTACTGGTCGGAGAAGCCTGGCATGCAGCGCGAGACATTGGCATCCACGGACGACGCTCCCGACACGCATAGCTCAGACAACGACGACGGTATTATGTGTGCGGTGCGGTGCATTCCCTTGACGTTTGCGACGAGTGGGCTAGCGTGTCGTCGTTCTGGATGACCACTCTGACCAAGATCTACCTCTGCGAAGAAGAAGCACAAGACGCTCTAGGCAAGGGCAAGGCCAATGATCCCACGCATGGCACGAAAAGCCAATGACTCGAGGAGATGCCATGGTAGTTGATTTCTACGAGTTGATGGAAGGCTTTGTTGCGATGGGTGAACCCCTTGCTCACCCGCTGATCCAACAGGCCGCCCTGCAAGGTGCCCGCAAGGAACCGCGTCGATGGACGACGTGTTACTACGTGCCATTAAAACTCAATCCGATCTGATGGCGCAAGCATCCAACGTCAAATCGGATGATGCAAATGATCGCAGCCATCGCTGCGACGCAATAATCGATGTTCCGTGGGTTCATGGTTGCTTTGTCGAATCACTACCGGACCAAGTTGGCGACGGTATTGTGTTTGGTCTTGGCCGCTCGTCGTTTGTCTCCACATATCCGCTGCGTTGGAAGACGGCTGCGTGTGGGTATTCTCGCATGAAATGCATGTGGGTTTCGAGGAACGGATGACGGGACTCGGCCATGTGTCTGCTTCCTTCTCTTGGCCGCTAGTACAATTGCGGTCGCTTCGTCGAAGACCCAGCGGTGGACATGCTCTTCAGTTGTTTCCCATGGCTGGTATTGCATATCAGTATATATATATCAGTATATATATATAGCACGGGACCGGTCATGGCGCCTCACGAAACGACTTTTCGGGAAAAGATATGAACTCCGCATGCTATCTCGCCCTTGATCGTGGCGGCCACGCGGCTTGGTCTGAACCGACGGAGTTCTTGCTGGTCGTGCGCGTAGCAATGTCACCGTCGACTTGGTGTGTGTCTTTCCTGGCCGCCCCCGGTTGCCGCTGCGCCAGCTCCAGTCTCGCAAGTATACAGATATCTTTTCCCGAAAAGTTGTTTCGCGAGGCGCCATATTGGGGGGTCATTTATATAGACCATTGGCGCCACGCGATCTCACTCGGATCGCACTTTTCAACTTTCAATCTCAACAACAACAAGACGAGGATGGCGTTCAACTTTTCGCAATCCAACAAGGCGCTGCCGCTCAAGACGCGCATGGGCATCCGGGACAACACCGAGAGCTTCGAGGCGGCCCTTGCTGCCATCCGCACGGCCTCGGGCATCGACTTTGCCTTTGAGGTCCACGGCGACGTCGTTGCCTTCAACAAAGCCATCGACAAGCCCTACGAGGACCGGGCGAGATCTTTTTTGGCTCGTCGTCGGGCGTCCTCCAGTCGCTCGTCACGTGCGTCACCAATGGCTGCGCCGACGAGATGGTGCAGGAAGATCTCCAAGACACGTGCTCGGCCAAGCTTCTCGTCTTCCGCGTCAAGCTCGAGGGCTGGCCCGGTGGCCTCTACCACCCTCTCAGCATCGAGAACGGGGTGTTGTTCGTTGATTTTTACTCAGATGCTGTGTGGTCCAACGTCGACGAAGTCGGCTGGACCAAGCTCGAGGACGTGCCCCGCATCTCCGCGTAGTATGCAGAGAGCCGATCGACGAAGTTCGAAGTAATTAGTCTCGAATTTCGTACCATACGGGTAACTCCTTAAAAACACGGCTTTCTGAAATGTAATGAAAGAAGTGCTCGCTCTTGCGATCTTCCCACCGTAGCCAATCAGGCGTGGCGAAAAGCATGGTGTTGCGCCAAGCCTGCCGGGCCGCAGCTGCCCGCGTCGACGCGCAACTGCAGGCGTGGGCGGCCGCGCTGCCGTCCGACGCTGGCGCCGCCTTACGTGCCAATGGCTACTACGTCGTCGACGGCGCCGTCTCGCCCGCGTTGGCGCAAGCGCTGCGCGATGAGATCGCGTCCTTGGCGGCCGCCGACGCGCTGTACCCGAACGCCACGCACGTGTACGTCAAGGACGCGCCGCGCCCGCTGCTCTTGGAGAAGGCGCACATCCACGAGACCGAGCTGGCCGACATGTCTGCCGACTACGCCAGCCTCCACCGCTGGTTTGACAACCCGACGCTGCGGACGACGTGCAATGCGTTGCTGCCGTCGCTGCGCGCCGATCGCCACATGATCAAGGTAGCGCATTGCTGCCTGCGAACATGGCTCATCATGGCGTAGGTGCAGTACAACGACGGCCATGGCGGCTGCTTTCCGATGCACTTTGACACGTACGGCGACGACGGCAAGTGCCTCACGGCGGTGCTGTACCTCAACGAGCGCTGGGCGCCGGGCGACGGCGGCGAAATCGTTTTGTTCCCATTCCCATACGCGCCGATCACGATTGCGCCAGCGGCAAGTCGCCTCGTGCTCTTCTCGTCCCACCGCATGCTGCACCGCGTGCTCCCGTCCCGCGCCCCACGGTCGCACCAACGTCATATGCCATCTCATGCCACCTCGTAGCTACTGCTTGACGACATGGATGTACCGCGATCCAAGCTTGAACGCCGCGTATCCACCTCCGCGCACTCGCTCGAATGGCTACGACACGATGCTCGCCAAGGTGTGTGCGAGCCCCTTCCGCGCGCACTTGGCCAAACTCGCGTACGCCGACGAGTGGCGGCAGTCGCTCATCGAGTCCCACGCAACCACGCCGTCGTTTGCAGCCTACCTGCAGAGCTACGATGCGGAGCTCGACGTCATTGCCGCCGCGACCGACCGGATGCTATCGACGTTTCGCATGAAGAGCGACGACATTCCTTCGAGCCATGCTGCGTTCACTGCGCGGCTTCGCGCCGAGACGAGTCCTCCATCCGACCTTGTTGCGTGGTTTTAACAAAGCTAGAGTCGTCTTAGCGCCGTGGACTGTAAGCGTGCAGCCGGAGCTCCTTCGTCAAGAGATCGTTCGCACGGGCCTAAATCCAAATGTCGTCAACGTACATCACGATGGAGACTCGGCGTGCCTGGTCGCAAAGGGTCGCTTGCAAGTGGTGATAGGCTGCTCGGAAGGCGGCAATGAGATCGGTCGCGTGCGTATGGTCGGTCCATGTGGACGGGGCGGACGAGGCACCACTGTTGGCAACCACAGTCAACACCTCTTGCGCGAGACGCGTGTACACCTACAGGCCAAGCAGAGGTGGTGGGGAGCTCGAGGCCAAAGGGGCGCCGTACGCTCGCCCACGGATCCGTCGTTCTACCACAAGCACATCTCTGAGCTCGGTCTCGAAACACAAGCCGAAGCGCACCGTAGCTGCTGCAGCGCGTCTTCGAGAGCCTGCACCTTGGTATGCGCTGTCTTGAGACGCGCACTGAGCGCCACTTTATCGGCCGCGAGTGTCTTGAGCTGGTCCTTAACGTCCATCTAGTACGTACATACTCATCGATCCGGTAACACGATCTGCACACGGTTGCCTTGGAGAACCCACGTAAGGTCGTCGTGATGACGGGGGCCGACGCTGTCCGGGCCAACGTCTTGTCGCGTTCAAGCTCCAAGCGGTGACGCTCGGCGGTGACGGCGGTACGGGCAGCATCCCGCTCCGCCTAAGTACAGCACAAGCCGGGTTCGTGACAGAGTCGACGAGAAACGTCGCCTACCTGCAAGGTATTGGCGCTCGCAAGGAGCTCGGCGTTGTCAGCGAGCGACGCCTGCAGCGCATGCTCAAGAAACTTCTTGGACTGACGCGCACTGTCGAGCTTTTGCAGCACATGCAGCATCTGCGTGTGCTGGAGACGGAGGTCGTTTACTGCATCGTCGAGCGTTAATGGGCGCGCGCTGAAGGATGCGACCGCCTACGCCCACGTCAGAGTCCGTGCCATGCGATGCCGCATATACCAAGCGAATGTCTTCGGACACGTCACTTTCCGACCGGCGGTGGCGCCGCGGGCTCTACGTTGCATGTAAGGGTTAGGTTAATCATAGGGTTAGGGTGTAGGCGTACTGGAACAAAGGGAACGGCGTCGTTCTCTTCTTGAATGCGATGACACGTACTCGGCCGCGACTGCAGCATCTGCAGCTGGTCGTGCAGTGCGCTGGCGACCGCCGTCTGCTCGCGCAAGGCGTCCTCGAGGCGGTTGCGCTCGGCGGCGCGGCTTGCTCGGTGGATGCGAGACACTGCCGCGCCGCCGCGACCTCGCGGTCCAGCTCCTGGCACGCTCTCTCACGAGCTTCCAGACGGGTTTGGAGCTGTGACACGACGGCGTCATGCGAGTGTGCCTCGACGCGAATGGCGGCAACGAGCCACGCGTGGTGGGTCTCGGCGTCCGCGAGTGCCATCTGCAGCGGCTCGTTCCCACTTGGCAACCGACATGTCGCGGCCTGCTTGGAGCGACCCGCAGTGTCGTCCGGCTCGTCTCTTCGCTTGTCTTCGGAGGCGAGGCGCCAGCGCGCGACCTCTTCGTTAGCCGCGGCCGCCGCCCGATGCAGCCGCGCGTTGTCGCTCTTGAGCGCGAGCTTGTCGCTCAAGAGTGCGTCGAGGCGGCGACTCATCTCGTGCGTCGAGGCTGTGTGCTCTGCGTCGAGGTGCGCGAGCTTCGCCCGCGCGTCCTCGAGTTCGCGCTGCAGCGCTGCGAATGCGCCTTGCGTGTCGTCGTTGGCCACCGCGGCGGTCGTGATGCACTTGGCCCGCTGCACAAACTGCAATGTAGAGAGCGTCTCGGTCCCAAACGCTTCGTCCGGCGCAATCGTGGCCAGGAGCGTCGTTTTGGAGTTGCCGCCCAGCGCGTCCCGCAAAAGGAACGTGAGCTTCGAGTCGCGGTAGTTGACGTGGCGCTTGACGCCGCGCGAGACATCGACGAGCGCTGTGATGACGTTGCCGAGCACGGAGAGCGACTTGTTGATCTGCGACGCCTACCCCCAGTCGATAGACAATGTTGTACATCGTTCGAATCACATACTTCTTTGAGGCGGAGGCCAAAGGTGCGCGTGTGACTCTGCTTTTCCGAGCCCGCGAGGTCGACGAGATGGAGCAAGGATCGCCGGACGATCACGAGGCCATCGGTCGTGTGAATCGTTTGGGACAAGTGGAGCGTAAACACCGAGTGCGACCGCGAACTCTCTCGGTTCATGGCCGTGCTCTCGACCGTGCGCTGCTTGGCGCCACGCTGTAGCAAGCGCAGCGCGTCGTCGGGTGTCGCCACGCGCGTCTCGCACAGGTCCTGGACGAAGACACTATTGCTGTCTTCCCGCACGGTCTTGGGCTCGATCGCTGAATCGTCGAGGAGGTCGAAGATCTTTTCGTTGTAGATCTCAAAGAACGAGCAGTCGCACGTGAACACCGTCTAGCAGCCCATCGAAACCGGCCGAGCCACGTCAACGGAACCGACCTGGGACGCCGCGAGCGACGCAAACAGCTGCTGGACAACGCGAGGAATGAGGCCGCGCTCGTCGCTGCTCGGGTTCATGTCGCCCTACGTCGTCGCGATGCGGCGAGAATGCTCAACGTATCCTCTGTGCGTACTTGCATGGTGTGCGTTTTGCCCGAGCCCGTCTGGCCGTACGCGAGGACGCAGCCGTGGAAGCCCAAGAGCACATTCGCAACGACAGGCATGCCCACCTTGAGGAAGATCTCGTCTTGCGTCGCTGCCTCGGGAAAGACGCCGTCGAGCGCATACCGGCGTCGGTCGGTCTTGAGCGGCGTGGTGACGCAGACGATCGATTGCGTTGGGAGGTCGACGTCGACGCAGCGCCGGTCGCTCGCCGACGGTCGAATGCGCACCATGCAGCGAATGGTCTCGCTAAGTGGCGGCGCGTCGGCAAAGCAGCTTGCTTGGCGCTCGATCTTGCGCTCAATGTCGCTGGCGAGGGCTGGCACGCGATCGCGTGGCACGACGACGGGGCTGCTGGGCTTGGCCAGGCGGGACGGCGACAGAAGCTTGCTAGCAGAGCGTAGCCCATGAGCCCTACTGCTGTAGCCATGCATCGTACTTGGTCTTCCATCGCGGTGATGGCAGATCGTCGTCGCCCATGCCACTGCGCACGTGGGCCATGCGTGCGATCGTCGAGGCGAAGTTCGAAGCAAATCGGTTGCTCGACCTCTTGGAATTGAAATGTAACGCTCGAAGAGTAGATCCGAAGAGGAAACGGTCTACCAAAATTTCTTCCATCTTTAAGGTACCAAGACTATAAAAGGTAGTGTATATACTTTAGTAGCTCGACCACTCTTTCATGCTTGCCTCGACGACGAATTTCCGCCTTATACATTACATGTGCAAACGTTAAATGATTAACCCTCCTTAAGTTGGCCTTGCTTTTTGGAGAAGAGGCGCCGGAGACTCATGCGCCGAGGCTTGGACTTGTGTTCGAGCTGCGTCTGGAGGTCTGCAATGATCTCCTGAAGCGTAAACGCAGCCTTTCTTTCCCTTCCAAAGCGTCCCGGGCCTCCAAAAGTGCTCTCGAGACCTTGGCGAGCTCGGCGTCCATCGCTCGCTTCTGTGCATCAAAGGTCGCAGCCTTGACCAGCAGCGCATTGCGCTCTTCCAATATGATCTCCGTGTCCATGACGATCTTGCCAAGCGTGTCCTACGCGTGTGATGAGCCTACGGAACGGACAAGCAGGTTCGACGAACCTTGATGGCATAAATCTCCTTGTCTTGGGCGGCAATGATGGCTTCTTTTGCTGCTATCTCGCGCTTGAGCTTGTGTAGATCCTCGCTCGGTCGACTGTCTCGTGTCGCGAGCTGTCGTTCAAGGTCGGCGATCTGCTCTTCGTACGCGACGACGACGGCCGTAGGCTCGACGTCCTTTTCTGGCTCGTCGAGACCGTCGTCGAGGCGCGCCTGCAGCGACGCCACTTGCTTCTCGAGGCGTGATATCACCGTCGCGTCGTCTTCAAACTGGATCGCGTGGTTCTTAATGCACTTGACCCGCTGCACAAACTGCAATGTTGAGAGCGTCTCGGGCAGCCAGCGCTCGTGGGCGGAAATCGTCGCGATGACCGTCGTCTTCGAGTTGCCGCCAAGCGCGTCCCGCAGAAGGAATGTGAGCTTCGAGTCGCGGTAGTTGACGTGGCGCTTGACGCCGCGCGAGACGTCGACGAGCGCCGTGATGACGTGGCTCAGCACGGAGAGCGACTTGTTGATTTGCGACGCCTACACACTTGATACATTGATACTACTGGACTCTAAACCGTGCAAGGTGCCTCTTTGAGACGCACGCCCGTCGCGCCGGTTTGCGTCTGCTTTTCCGAGCCAGCGAGGTCGACGAAATGCAGTGTGGACTGGACGCCATCCCGCGTCTGCGTGAGCTTGATCGTAAACACCGAGTGCGACCGCGAGCTCTCTCGGTTCATGGCCGTGCTGCCCACCGTGCGGTTGCGGCCGCCGAGCGAGAGCAGCTGCAGCGCCGACGTCGACGACGTCACGGGGATCTCGAGCAAGTCTTGGACGAAGACGTTTTGCTGGCTGTCTTCGCGCAGAAGCTTGGCGTCCATCGACGTCGCGGTGTCGTTGTCGAGGAGGTCGTAGACGCGCTCGTTGTAAATCTCCAGAAACGAGCAGCGACACTCGAACGGCGCCTACGAGCTGAGTACGGCGCTGCTCGATAGCCGTGGCACAGTACCGAGAGCTGGGCGAAGAGCGCCTCGAGGATACGAGGCACGACGCCGCGCGTCTCGCTGTGCGTGCTCTCGCCCTAGCCGCCGCCGTCGTCAGCGATTGATGTACTACAACTGTACCAGTACCTCCATCGTATACGTCTTGCCCGAGCCTGTTTGGCCGTACGCAAAGAGGCAGCCGTTGTAGCCGGCGAGCGCATGCGCGACAAAGGCAGCGCCGACAGCGTCGTAGACGTCGGCCTGCGACGCACTTGCCTGCACGATGCCATCCACCGCGAAGACCTTGACGTCGTTGCCATTGGCTTTGGACACATTCAGCACTGCTGGCGCGTTGACCGCCACCTCGACGCAGCTTCGGGCATCGTCGGTCGTGGGCTGGATGCGGACAAAGGCGCGGATGTTGTCGGCGCTCGATGGCGCATCCAAGATGCCCGAGTCGCTACTGTCAATGGACATGGACCGGCGGTGGCGGCGTGCGGGCGACAGTGCGTGGCTTGGCGAGTACGACGCCCGCCGGCCCATCGGCGCCATCAATTGCGCGTCGGTCATTGCAGAAATGGACGGTAACCATGCCCCTCGATCGATCGTCGTATTTATAGGCCAACGCATTCAACCGCTGAGTATGTCTCCGCCTACCCGTCTTCCTAACTCCTCGTAACTCGCATCGAGTTACAGGTATTATAGCTATCGCTCGATGCCCGTTGACTGCGATTCGCAGCAGCGGCCAGCGGCGAGACCTCCGCTAGCCGTATCGTTCAGTGCCAGTTCTGCACACTACCATTGTACAGTAGCTCGCCTTTCTAGCTCGCTCACCTCCTGGAGACGGTGCAGTTAGCAGCGAGCAGATTCTGTGGACGGATGTCTGGCCCGACGACTGGCCCGACGGTCGTGTCTCTGCCGTCGTTGAAGGACAAGCCTCGTTCTGCGTGCGCATGTCAATAGTACAATGGCGTGCGTCCAAGCACGAAGGCAGCGTCGCGAGCATCATGACGCCATCCGCAGATGCGCCAGCGGCAATGCCCCTTCCTTGTCCACGAACAATTATGGGCCGACCAGGATGACGTGGTGGCGCCATGTGGTCTGAACTTTCGAACGTGTTGCTTTTTTCTTCTCTGTCCGCAGGCTGCGGACGTCGCAAGGCTTCTTCAAGCTTGCAATACTGCAAGCTCCCACTGGATCCGCCACGCGTTGGCATCGATTACGAAAGCACCCCCAGCAACGCCTGCCGTGATGACCGCGGCAGCCAGAGTCCGTCATAAAAAATGATTTTCTATGTGCCCATGGTTTGCAAGGCAGCCATCCTCTGTCGTTGCTGGCGTGTCGTCAGCTGTTGAGCCCAGCGCAGCCCAGCGCGTGGGTGCTAGTGGCCAGTACCGCAGTGCACGCTGGCGCGCAACCACATTGGCGGCGACGCTAACCTCATCTTGGAGCGCGCCACGAGCGTGTGGCGATCGCGCCGGCAGCGCCGGGCGCCACGACATCGCAGCCGTCTTCTCGTCGGAGAACCAGAGAAGGAGGTCGTCTTCGTTGAGGCGACCTGATGAGGTCAGTCGTCGCCTGGGTGGCAGTCCCACGCCTCAGATCCAGGCGGTGCAAAACAGTGGGACGCGTGATCGGTCGACCATCCGCGCTGTTCGTCAGAGAGCAAGTTGCCACCCCGAGTGCACATGACCAAGGCCAACTACTTTGTCGAGGGCGTCATCGCCAAGGCGCTGTACGGCCAAGTGCTGCTCTGCCGCAACGAGACGGGCGGGCGCGCCGCCGTCAAGCGCGTCGACCTCTCGATCTCCGGCACGCGGCCCTCGGACCTCGACCTCGACGACCTCGACGACGAGATCCGCGATGAAATCCAAGCTGAGAAGCACGTCAACCTCGTCCTGCAACGCCATCGCCACCGCCACCTCGTGGCCATGGACGACCACTTCGAACTCGACGGCTTCCAACACTTCGTGTTCGAGTACTGCGCCAACGGCGAGCTCTTTGACGCGCTCAAGCACGCCAAGGGCGGCCGCTTCTGCGAGCTCCGCGCCTTGCATTACTTTCGCCAGATCGTCGCGGGCGTGCACCACATGCACCGCCATGGCTTCGCGCACCGCGACCTCTCGCTCGAGAACGTCCTCCTGACCAAGGACAACGTGTGCAAGGTCTGCGACTTTGGCCTCGCCGTGCCGCTTCCCGGCGTCGCCACCGAGACGGTCGGGAAGCTCAACTACATGGCGCCCGAGGTGCACGCGGGTGACGTCTACGACCCGGCGCTCGCCGACGTGTGGTCACTTGGCATGATGCTCTTCATCATGATCTCGGGCGTGCCGCTTGTCGACGTGCCAAGCGACAGTGATCGGCGGTTCACGATTCTGCGCGAGTATGGCGTCGAGGCCATCGTGGGCATGTGGCACATGGAGCACCTCTTCTCGCATGCGATCCTCGACCTTCTCCAGTCGATGCTCATGGTGCACCCGGGGAAGCGCGCCACCATGACGCAGGTCAAGCGGTACCTCGACACGATGGACCGTCCGGAGGTCCCACCGCCGCCGCCGATGCAGAGCCGAGGAAAGGCCAAGAAGCCAAAGAAGGCGGCGACCAAGACCAAGATCGTCGGCGGGGGCAAGTGGCGCAGCCTCTTCCAGCGCTGGTTCTGAGCAGCCTACAACACACTATTTATACACACATACTATTTTATGCTACCACCGTGTGTTTTGAATTGAGGCACGCGTTCCTGCATATCCCGCGTATTTTACACGGTGAGAAACGGAAATAGTGTAGGATCCGGGCCGCAGATCGCCACATGCACGCTGCGTCCTCCGTAATCTCCGTGCGTCCCATCAGCTGCGCGCACGCTGCACGCTGGCACGGGCCTAGAATGCAGGCGTTGGACACGATACCAAGCTGCTGCGTGTAGACGGTCACAACCAATTAAGAATCACGAATCGAAAATTACCATTCAATTCCAGCGCGCTCCGGTGTCAGGACTCTCTCTGTACTCTGTACGCTGCGACTGCAGTCTCGGCGAGCAGCATTTCTCGCGTCGCGAGGTGCTATGTAGCGTGTACCAGTGCACGTGTGACCACGGATCCATACTCCGCGTGGTATGGACGCGGGTGCGGCGGCTCTCGAGCCTGATTCGCGCGCATGCGACCAACGTGGCCGACAAATATCCACGTCATGGATTCAGCGTGGTTACACGCTTGTGAATAGCAGCACGTCCGGCAAGCGTCGCCGCTGGTTCTGGAGCGACGAAGTATAGCCTTCCGACCGAGTAGCAACGACCGACTGCGCAGGGCCAAGGTATTAGTGCGAGGACCGGCCGTCCTGGCCGTGTCGTCGTGCCAGTGGTCGCTCGACTAATCAATATTAATATATATTCGACGATGGCGATTTGACAGGAACACTGTATGGGGCGGGTGGAATATTGGAATATATTGGCGCCAGGCGCGCAAAAGACGGGCCAGTCGACCCATCATCATTTTTCGAGACCAGAGCCAGAGCATGTCCTGCGCGTCCGACAACGTCTTGACGACCTGCGCGGCCTGCGACGCGGGCGTACCCTGCCTGCGCTACTCGACCGCGTCGACCTGCGCGCCCGTGCGGGGCGGCGTCTGCGTCAGCCCGGCCGGCGACTGCCCGTACCAGTGCTACCCGAGCGCCATCTCGAACGGCGTGTGGCAGTTCACGTACAAGAACGACCCCAAGACCACGGACGTTGGCGGCTACGGGCCCATCGGGCCCATCAAGAACTACACCGTTCCAAGCAGCGTGAGGTACGAGCGCGCGCTCGTTATCCCAAACGACAACATGCCTCGTAGCGCGGTCAAGGTCAGCGGCGGCCCGAACGCCGGCGTGGGCGGCAACCCGCTCAAGAGCATCTCGCCATGGGACCCTGCCTTCCTCGGCAGCTCCGTCACGACGCTGTACGTTATGGCTACGTTGCGGCAAGGCTCATGACGACGTGTGCATAGCTCGCTGGAGGGCCTCAACCTCATGAGCTCGTACCCGACCGTGCCGGCAACCGTGACGGACGTGACCATATCCAATTGCCAGCTGACAGCGATCCCTGCGTGGGCACTGCCGTCGTCGCTCGCAGTCCTCGCCCTCCCCAACAACAAGCTCGAGACGCTCCCGGCGATCGGCTCGTCGCTCTACGACAAGCTTGCGAACCTCAAAAACTTGTACGTGGCCGATACCACCTGCAGCACATGCGCACATGCTGCATTGCTCTAGGGACCTCAGCCGCAACGCGCTCTCGACCTTTGACCTGCAGCTCAAGAACCTCAAAGCCCTGTACCATCCTGCCTGCGTCGGACGAGCTCATAGGACGACTTTTTGCATAGCGACCTCGCCAACAACCAGTTCACGACGATTCCCAGTGCAGTCTACAGCCTCTCCGGCCTCGCAAGCCTGTGCGTCTTGACGTCCAAAAACAGGCCGATTGATCTCAATGTCTGTGTAGCAACCTCGACGGCAACCCGCTCGCCGGGGCCATCTCGAAAGATCAGTTTACGATTCTCAATGCCATCCCAACGCTCAAGCTGCCCGCCGTCGCTGGCAGCTGCCCGTCGTCGTCCGGGCTAGCTCGCTGGAGGGCCTCAACCTCATGAGCTCGTACCCGACCGTGCCGGCAACCGTGACGGACGTGACCATATCCAATTGCCAGTTGACAACGATCCCTGCGTGGGCACTGCCGTCGTCGCTCGCGGTCCTCGCCCTCCCCAACAACAAGCTCGAGACGCTCCCGGCAATCGGCTCGTCGCTCTACGACAAGCTTGCGAACCTCAAAAACTTGTACGTGGTCGATGCCACCCACAGCACATGCTGCATTCAATGGCTCTAGGGACCTCAGCCGCAACGCGCTCTCGACCTTTGACCTGCAGCTCAAGAACCTCAAAGCCCTGTACCATCCTTCCTCCGTCGCACGAGCTCATATGACAACTTTTTGCGTAGCGATCTCTCCAACAACCAGTTCACGACGATTCCAAGTGCAGTCTACAGCCTCTCCGGCCTCGCAAGCCTGTGCGTGTTGACGTCCAAAAACAGGCCGGTTGATCTCAATGTCTGTGTAGCAACCTCGACGGCAACCCGCTCTCCGGGGCCATCTCGAAAGATCAGTTTACGATTCTCAATGCCATCCCAACGCTCAAGCTCCCGGCCGTCGCTGGCAGCTGCCCGTCGTCGTCCGGGCTCCAAACAACGACCACGTCGGGCAACAGCATCTGCGTTGTCGGCGCGTCGTCGTCGTCGTCCACCGGGCTCATCGTCGGTATCGTGGCCGGCGTGGCCGTCCTGCTCGCAGCCATCGGCGGCTTCTTCTGGTACCGCAAGCGCCACGCCGCCGCAGATACGGTGCCAGAAACGACCTTTAACGATTTCGAACCGTCGTACCCGCTCCCTGGGAGCCGGCGACGACAGCCCACCGACTTGGACCTGCGCGGGTCGTCGGCGTCGACGAACCCGAGCAAGACGACGCTCGCGCGCGGTCGCGGCAGCAGCAACAACGTCATGAGCAACAACTCGCCGGTCTACAAAGACCTCCTGCTGCAGACGCGGAGCAACCCGACGCACCAGCGGTCGTCGATCGTGCTGCAGTCGGCGCTCAACCCGGCCATTGTGACGCTCGATGAAAACGATATGGTCTACACGCGCACGCTCGGGAAAGGCGCCAAGGGCGTCGTGTGGCTCGCGAGCTACGCGGGGGACGTGGTCGCGGTCAAGAAGATGGTGCAAACGGCGCCGGACGCCGACCGCCAAGAGGCCCTTTGCAACCTCGTGGCCGAAGCGAACCTGCTCTTGACGCTGCGCCACGCCCACATCATCCAGCTCATTGGCGTCGTGACCGATCGCGTCAACGAGATCGCGGTCGTCCTCGAGTACATGGACCTCGGCGATCTTCGCGAGATGCTCATGAAGAAGAAGCCGTCGCCGACCTTTGATTGGCAGAGCCTCAAGGGCACGTACGCGCTCCACGTAGCGAAAGGCTTGGCGTACCTCCACGGCAAGAACCCGCCGCTCATCCACCGCGACATCAAGGCCCGCAACATCCTCGTCGACTCGCAGAAGGGCGCGAAGATCTGCGACTTTGGCGAGTCCCGTCTCCGGTCGTACCAGGAAACCATGACGTCCAACGTCGGGACCGCGCGCTGGATCGCACCCGAGGTACGAGGACAATATTGTCTTGTGTCGATTGCTAAATGGTACTGGAGTAGGTGTTGCTCAACGACGACTATAGCGAGAAAGCCGACATTTACTCGTTTGGCGTGCTCCTCTCGGAGCTCGATACGCACGACGTGCCGTACAGCGACGTTAATTTGGACGAGCGCGTCATCGTGCAGCGTGTCGCCGTCGGCCAGCTCCGCCCCAAGTTTTCGGCCAACTGCCCCGAGAAGCTGCGCCGACTCGCGAACCACTGCATGCAAGCCGACCCGGCACTGCGCCCGGACGCCAATAAGATCGCTGCGAGCCTCGCAGACCTTCTCGAGTCGTACTAGCCACGGACGCGCTGAACATCTTATATATACCAGTATTCCACCACTGTCGTCGGGGTGCTCGGGTGGCCGCAACGACGACCAAGGACGCAACCGTGTCGTCCGCGTCGCACCGTCGCAGCTGACCCACTACAATCTTAATGGCTGCTGTACTGTGGAAGCAGTCCAGGATGGGTGCTGGAGACCTCGCGACGCAGACAACAACGGATCTCGCTGAAGCGAAGGCTACATATGCTGGATTACGATGGTATCAAGGATGCGATGACTTGAAACCTCGATAGATCGACCACGGGTGCTCCGTCGAAGGCAAGCTGATGTAATAGGGAGTGGTCGACCTCGGATGTGCTCTTGAAATGATGGCGTCGCGGAATCGTCGGCTCTCGTGGCCTTGTACACGAGTGGCTCAGAGGGCGGCGAGAAATCATTGGTGTCGCCCGAGCTGGGACCCGGCGCGGTCCGATGGCTCGTGTGGTTGTGGCGGTTGGGACGAGGGCGTCAAAAGCTCGTCGTAGGAGCTCATTTGCGTACTCGATCCACGCGCCCATGGACGTTTCGGTCGACGATTGCTTCGCGGAAGTGGATTTGCTCGCTAGCACGACGGCGGGCTGGCGGATGTGCGACCTCCGCGCGCTCCTGAGCGCCGTCAAGGCTTATAAGCGGTCCCAGCGCCGCGGCGGCCGTCTCGAGTGGTCCAAGATCGCGAGTATGCTCGACCTGCACAAGTCGACTGACGAGCTCCAAGCACGATACCAACGTATCGTGGCCAAGGTGCGCCACCGCCGAGAGCGCGAGGAGGCGCGCGTCCCCGTCACAAACGCCCGACCCGTTGCGACGCCTCACAGCGCCGATGTTGCTGCGACGCGAAGCGGGTCCGTCTACGCGGTGACGGACGGTCGGCCTCGCACCCGCTCCAACTCGCGCCCAGGCCGGATGCTCTCGATGCATCGCCCGACCAAGGTTCGCAAGAAGCGAAGTCTTGCATCGACCAAGGTCTCGGGCCAGCGGCCTGCACGCACCCACCCGTCGGTCAAGCTCGAGTCAGTCAAGACAACGACGGTCAAGACCGAGTCGCGCACGACGGAGACAAAGGTGATCAAGGCGGAGACGGTCGGTGTCGTCCGCGGCACCAGCCTGAAGCTCAAGGTCGCCCGATCGGCTCGACAGTAGTCGTGTCTACCCCAGCTTGTAATGTTGCCACGACTAGTAAAGCGTGATTGGACTGACTGATTGAGGGATTGACTAAACGGGATACATGAATACGTCGTTCCTACATACAAACGGCTCAACCTGTATTAGATTCACGTAGAACTACTATGTGATAAGATCTCGATGTGCGTTGGACGTCGGCAGTCACGAGCTCGTGTTCGTCCACCGACAGCCCGGGATAGTGTCGCTAGAATACGCCTGCGACTCGATGCGACAGTCGTCGGCTTGGATAAAGGATGCTTGCTTGAACGTTCCCGTCAGCCCATGAAACTATCGACGAGTTTGTTCTGAGTCGCCAGTACAACAAGCGGGCTACTAATAAGCGCGCAATGCATTTCGTGTGTTGCAGCAGGGTGCAGTCACCACCAACCACCAGGTGCGTCACTGCCAGACTCGAAGAAAGCCCGATTGCCATGATGGTGAGAGACGCTGGCAGCCTGGTCCATTAGTCATCCGGATGCTATCCGGAAGATATGCCAAAACCGATTCTTTGGCGCCACATGCAGCTGGCCGCGAGAATGCACGTGCAAATAAACTGTATCTATCCATAATAGTTCGTTAGCTAGCTACCGGTAGCAACGCACTTCACGGGGAAAGCACTGATCTATCGACAAGCACTGGTACAGCAACAACCACCGGCACGATGCGATCCACCATCACTCATTTCTAGCCATACATTCTGCTGTGCAAGATCGTGGTCCCATGGGCAACTCCAATGAATCGAACTGTCATTTCCCATTGTGCTGGCTCGTCCACAATGAAGTTGTCGACGCTCTTCAACCATCCGACGCGTTCCCAAGACGAAGACGACGTGACGACGCGCGTTGCCCGCATGGTGCACGACGCGCAGGCGCAAGGATGGGCCCACGACGTCGGTCTCCGCTTCATGAACGTGACGTGGGAAGACTGCGCGCGCAGCAAGAACAGCTGCTGGGGGCCGTGCATCTCGGACATGACGCTCATCGTCGAGAACACGCGCATGCCGGTCCTCCGCGTGCCCAACTTTGCCGGTAGAAAATATCGTCGTCCACACCTGTGTCATTTCTTAGCTTCTTGCGACAATATATTAGACCCGATCATGAGCATTCCAACCCGCAAGATCTTTGTCACGGTCGGGAACGAATCGCCGTATATTCGCACGCCCCGAAGCACGATTTCGCTCCAAGAGTACCTCGAAAACATCACCAAGTACACGGAGCTGGAGCATAGCTTGTTTGCGCCCGACCACGACGACCACGCGGTGGTAAGACATCGTATATTGTCGTACATGTTGACGTATCGCACACGGGATGGTAGGTGAGCACGCAAGCCAGTTTTTTGCCCATTGAAACCGAGACCACGGAGTTCCACGTTGGCTTGTACAACTACCAGTCGTCCGTTGATGACCCGGCCGTGCTCGTCTTGGTGTGCACGGCAGCGGGCACAAGGTACCACTCAGCGCTCTATTTTCACGTGACGAAACAACGACGATAGTGCCCAGGTCATGACGGAGAGCGACGCGATCTTGTACAGCAACGAGCAGGGTCAAAGGCACACCTTGGTTGCCGGAGCGCTTGTCGACACACCGCGCCAAGCGAGGGGTTACGTCGAATGGCGCCATGACGGCGCGAGAGGAGGCATGCAACTACGTCATGATTGTGCAGATCCCGCTCCAGCAAAAGCCGCCGCCGCCAATGCGCCAGTACAGCAACGTCGCGTCGTGGTCCTGCGAAGAGGAAGAAGAGTGCGCAGTGGGTGGGTTTGCTACGACGCTCGAGCGGCCCGACGTTGAAGAGGCCATGGTGAGCCTCGGCGAGGCCCTCGGACCGTTCCCGAAGCTGAGCCAGTTTCGCAACGTGACCCGCGACGCCCGGTACCCGATTCGCGTGACGATTCAGTTTTACCAAGCGACGAGCAACGGAGTCGTGACGCGCGAGATCGTCGAGCGTCTCAGTGACCGCATGGAGCAAGTCAAGGCCAACGCAACGTGGTGGGGCTCCCTTGTCTGCAAAGGCGACGCGTTCTTTGGCGGTTGCAGTGACTATTAGTTGCTAGAGCACGCATTTTGAATCCACGAGTCGTCGATACATACAATGGGCTCAAACATGGTTAGGGAATTCTGTTTGAGGACGCTTCAAAATGCTCGTTGTTGAGCGGAGAGGCCGAATCACCAACTCCGAATCACCAACTTTGGATACAATCCTAATGCACGATCCAGTAACTATTAATGGACCGTATATTATGGTGGATTGTAGCTAGGGTAGGGCATTCAACTTTTTATGCACCCTTGTAGTGACAGAATGGGACTTGAGCCACGCTTGGTCCATGCAAGCACCGTGTATCGCCAGAGAGTTAGTATAACTCTAGGAAGCCCAGCGCGTGTTGCCTGTGCGTGAACCAGATAGGATAGACGATGGTGGCAGAGACGGATGGTCGGTAGCGGCTCTGCACCGAATCGATTGACAAAGGTTGTATCCATCCTTCTAGTAGGTCCATCGTGATCGCTTCCGTAACCTCAGCTCCGAGGCCTTTGCAGCTCAATACAAAGCTGACGATGCCGGTGAGTGGACACGCCCTGGACCGAGTTGCTTGTGAATTGGAAGTCACTAGAAGGGCGAACCCACAACCACAACTACATTACTTTGCCAGATTCCCTTGGTGGTTTTGACGCTGAGTCGTGGCACAAGAAAAATAGGTGCAAAGGCTTGCCTCGTGGCACTCGACGTATCCCTGCAGCTTTCTCAACACAGTAGCGTGTCCAGGATACGCTTCGTCTAGACTGTTCAATATATATACACACAGAAAACTTTGCGTAAAAAAGAAATAAAATGGTGAAGCGACTCTGGAAACACGCCATCGTCACGTACGGAAGATACTCTGGGTAACCACCGTTGCGCGTTTGCCACGTCATACTCAGCGGCAAAAATGTGCCTCCGGCGTGCTTCTGGCGCCGACCAGGTCGACTCGAAGCAGATTGTGATTGCTGCACCTCGCAGGCGAATGCGATCCTCGAACATGAAGCAGCACCCAAACGACGACGTCGAACAAGCAGCCTTTCGTGTGTGTCTACGGCCAGTCCCGAACAACGTCAACCAGATGTCGAAACCTGCGAGCGTACGCGGACCACAGTCCGTGTGGCCACCGTATGGATTTGTCTTGTGTGCAACACCGCTTTGCCAAGGACACTCAAACAATGCGCTCATCGAGGGCTCGTGGCCGAGGGTATCAGCGTGTTCACTTTTACGACATACGCGCCGCTTCTCCGTACGTGAGCTTTTTGCATTCAAGGTCCTTGGTTGCTGCTTTTTGATTGCAAAACTTGAAGTGCGTTCACGCGTGCCCTTATCAGATTGATGAGAACCACCGCTGTGGCGATCACCTCGCTTGCCGACGGCGCAACCCAATGCCTCCCAAAGCCCATCACGCTTGCGGCAACTCTGGCAACCAGCGGGTTCGTGTCAACCCATTTCAAGGCCGACACTTTACGCGTCACCGCTTTGAGCTTCAACACGAAAGGAACGTTGGCTACAAGAGCCGCAAGCGTCGTTGGCTTCTCGTTGGAGTTGTTGGGAGTTCCAAGGGACTGGATTGGCATTGCGCCTGTCGGCAGACATCGCTGCTTGAAGCTTGAAGGGCACCCTTCTACCGTTGTACCATGGCACAAGGCAGAGGTGGCGGCGCCAAAGAAACTTCGTAACCCATTCGAAAGCAGTGCGCTCGACGACCGCACGTCGCGCCACGTGTTTCCTCCGCGACGCCAAACGGGTGCGTGTACTACCACATGGCGCACGTCCAAGCAGCTCGGTTGCAGTTCATTTTCGAATTGGCGCGCTCCACAGCAAGCAAGCATGGCGTTCCTTACGTTAGAAGACATGAAGATTGTCGTGTCGCTAGTCTGCTGCTGCCTCGGCGTCGGTAGCCTCGGCCTCGCTGGCAACTACGCGCGCGCCGGCTACGTCGCGGCCACGATCGCGTTCATCTTGATGGCGATCATAAACACGTACGCGACGTGGTGTCTCTGCAAGGTGCTGGTCGTCGCGCCCAAGTCGATTCTGACGCTCGGCGACCTCGGCGACTGGTGCTTTGGCCGCGTCGGCAAGTATTTCTCGCTCATTTTCCAATGCCTTCTCTGCGCCATGTACCCGATCGTGTACCTCGTGCTCGGCGGCACGCTGCTCTCGACGTTGTTTCCCATGTCGTTTTCACAAACGACGTGGCTCATCCTCATGGCCATCACGCTCCTCCCGGTCTGCCTCGTGCCGACGATGAAGGAGGGCGCTGGCATGGCCCTCGCCGGCGGCCTCGCCACGGTCCTCGCCGATGGCATTGCGCTCGCACTCCTCATCACCAACATGGAGGACGTCAACCCGGCAGGCATCTCGCCGCCGTCGCCCGAGATCACGTTTACAAGCGTCACGACGGTCTTTGGCAACCTCGCGTTTGCGTACGGTGCGTGCATGATCATCCCGTCGCTGACGCACGAGCACACGCAGCCAGCGCGCATGCCCCGCATCTCGCTTGTCGCGCAAGGCATCATCACGTTTTCTTCTTCGCCGTCGCGCTCCTCGGCGTCTTCTCGGCCGGCTGCCAAACGCCCAACAACCTCCTTTTCGCGATTTCTGGCTCCAAGCTCGGCTTTGCGGCCTCGCGCGGCTACGTCGTGCTCGCGTTCCTCTGTATGCAGTTCCACATTACGATCGCGTTTGCCGTCATCTTCTTTCCCGTCTTCCAGATCCTCGAGCGCCTCGTGCTCGGGCTGCACAAGGACCGCGACATGGTGGTAGTGCTTGAGAAGGACGTCGAGACGCCGGCGCTCGACGATGACGTCGAGAGCGCGACCTTTCATGCGGTTGTCGAAGGGGGCCCGCGCGAAGAGGTCAAAGCGTACAGAGCCCCCGGGTCGTACTTCAAGGCGTCGCTCGTGCGCACGGCACTTATCGCGGTCTGCGTCGTCATTGCAGTCATCTGGAAAAATCATCTGAACGCGCTCGTCGACTTTGTCGGGGCGTCGGCGTCGGCGCTCGTCAACATGATCCTCCCCATGGTGTTTTACTTGAAGACGTTCTGGCCGTCGATCAAGTGGCCGGAAAAGATCTTTGCGTTCGTGTGCATCCTCATTGCGGTCTTCCTCGGCGTGTACGTCTCGATCCAAACGGGCAAGGACTTGTTTTCGCCCGAGACGGCAGACCCGACGATCCTCTTCCCACTCTGCCCCGCCGCGTTCCAGCAAGTTGTCTTTACCAACACGACCTACTATCACTACTAATGCGAAGGTCGGTCGCACTCCTCGGTCCAGTCTTTGTGCAATATACACTGCTGTTGTTGTTTGTACCGTTGCTCCGTTTCTGTGCTGCCACGTCATCGCGTCATTCGTCGGTTATATTGGATTATACGGTTTTACGCAGAGGTAAAAGAGGAAAAGTCTCGGAAAATACATAAGTGCAAAATGACGATCATGGTCGTGCTGGAAAGACAATCAATTTCAAATTTGCACACATGGTCAACAACAACGTCGCGTCGACACGCGGGATGCAGCTCGTCGACGACACCGAGGCGCAAGCTATGGCGGCAGCGTGCGGGCTCTGCTTCGAAAGTTGCTGCTGGGACGCGGCGGTCACCGCTTCGACCCCGACGGCAACGCTCGTTTTGGGCACACAAAAGCTGCCCGTGCTCAAGCGCTTTAACGATGCATGTACAGTTGGCACTTGCTTTGATCACGCAGGTTGTACTGTCGACATCCTAGTGCAGTACCTTCCGACGCGCGACTTTACCGTGACCGCCGGCAACGAGGCGGGAGCGCCCTTGACCACGCTGTCGCTGGTACCGTACTTACGGGATATTTCCAAGTACACGTCGCTCAAGAACAGCATGTTTCTCGATGGAAAGGATGAACGCGTGGTTGTGCGGACGCAGGCGTGCCTGCTGCCGGTGGACAACGGCCGGGCCACCCGCTTCCACGTCGGCTTTCGATGCGACACCGCAGCCGCGCTCGTCCTGCTCTGCACCGAGAAGGGCACAAGGTATGACCTTACTACTGGTTGTCTCTGCAACAAAAATCCTCTAGCGCTCATGTCATGCACCGTGGAGAGGCGGCGCTGTATGTGAGACGTTGCCGCCGGAGACGACGGCGCCATGCACCCCCCTCCACCCATTTCTCCCTGAGGGGCCGCAGAACTGGCGAACGCGGCCAGCACCACCAAGTCCGACGGTTCCCGAGCTTGGACCCCGTCATCCCGACTATTGGCCATGTGTTCCACACTACGACCCCGCGGCTCCCCGATACAGTCCGACAACCCCTGCATACACCCCCGGCATCTCTCTGGTCGATCCCGCTCCCCCTTCATATGTCCCCACAGCTCCAGCCTACGAGCCAACTTCTCCAGCACCGGCGGCTCCAGCCTTTGTGTCAGCTGAAAAGCGACCTAGCCAGTGTACGATCCACCGAGGCGCATTGAAGCGCCTCTGACGCTCGTACGCCCGTCGGTGGTTCTTCCGAATGCTATTGCTGCGAACTACGCTCCGAGCCCGGCGTACTACGCTACCGGTCCTTTCTCTGACGCAACGACGACAGCGGGCGTTGTCGTTGGCGCCTTCCCGAGCCTCGGCGACGGCGCCATGGAACGGGATCGTGCGTCTCCGATCCGCATCACGGTGCAATTTTACCACTTGACGACTAACGGCGTCGTGACCTCAGCGTTCATTCACGACATGGCAGAGAGGATGCGTTCATGCGAGACGCTCGCCATGTAATTTGCTCCTTGGTAATAGTATCAATGTATTTATTGAGTGTGAGAATTTCGCATCGCGTGACGTGCATCAAACGTTTCAACTGTCAACCGTGGCAACGATCCAACGCTGGAACATCATCTCGAGATGGTGGCACCCCGGGTAACCAAGAACCGAGACGAAGGATGTCGTCCGCGGCGTCGACGCCCCCGGTCCCCGAAGTGCGTCGACAAGCGAACCCAAGTCCGTCGACGAGTCCTGAGAAGCCATTGCGGAAGGTGCGATCGAGCCCCCCAACTGAAAGAGTCCTAGCAGACCACGACATCGTCTCGACATTTGTACGACTGCGCCCGTCCTCCTCCCCCGCCTTACCCCTCGCCTACACGCAAACACGAGCACACGACGGTGCCCACTCCCTCGAGGTTGCTCGAGGCACGGGCGCGAGGCGCGCGTTCCATATCGATGGGGTTTTGGATGCTACCGCCACCCAAGACGACGTCTTTGCTGCGGTCGGTCGCCCGGTCGTCGATCGCATTCTAGCCGGCGACAATAGCAGCCTCTTGACGTACGGTCAGACGGGGTCGGGGAAGACGTACACAATGCTCGGTGCTGTCGAGGGCCCAGACCGCGGGCTCCTCGCCCGGATCTTACAAACGCTGTTAACCCAAGCACCGGTCAGTGCATTCTCTCTATCTTGTACGTCGGCTAAAGAGGTCGAGTAGGACGCGGCGTGCGACGTCTCGTACTTTGAGATCTATGGCGACAAGGTCTACGACCTCCTCGATTCTTCGCACCGTGGCGCCAAGTGCGTGCGGGAAGACACGCAGCTGGGCACCATCTTTGTGCAGGACCTCGTGTCACGGACCGTGCGCTCGAGCGCCGAAGCGAACGCGCTGCTGCTGCTCGGCGCGAAGCACCGGCGGGTGGGTAGCACGGCCATGAACCGCGACAGCTCTCGGTCGCATGCGATTCTTCAGATGACGCTCACGCAGGCTCGAACCCAGAGCGTCTTGTACTGTGTCGACCTCGCGGGCTCCGAGACCCACACCAGCCTCGACGCCCACGAGGTTGTGTGCTGGTTGATATTACATCAAGAAGAAAATGGTTTTGTGTCGTCGTAGGCGACGCAGATCAACAAGTCGCTGTCGTGCCTCGCCAATGTCATCACGGCGCTCGTTGATGTCTCGAATGGGGTGCATCGACATGTACCTTACCGCGATTCCAAACTCACGTTTCTTCTGCGCGACGCGCTCACCGCCAAGACGACTATTGTCGCCACGGTCTCGTCGGACGCACGCCACGTCACCGAAACGCTCGCGACATTGCAGTTTGTGCAGCGCGCCAAGTCCATACGTGGCACGGCGGTAGGCGACTGCGACCTTGGCAGGAAGATCCGTGCGCGATGCTCTGCACAACTGCACACGCTTGAGAAGACGACGACGGCGCTGGTCGAGTCCGCGCCGAGCAAAAGTGATGTCGCCGTTCAGACATGCCTGCCCATTCCCACGGACGTCACGTCGTCCAGCGCTGCAACCAGCGTCACCCTACGTGTGAGCATGGCTCTCTGCTTAGGACTCGTGTGCTGGTACCGCTGGCGCCGTCGGCGGTAGCGCCAAGCTCCATTGTCGAATGGCTCGGTCTGGACATGGCTCAAGTTGAAAGATTCGGTGTGCATCCAAAGTCGCAGCCCAACCTATTAGGTCATGCTGCGAGAAACAAAGACGTACACTCGATCGATGTCGCGTGCTAGCATTCCGTAGTTCCATGCAATATTGTCTTTTATTCATCAGTTAAATAAGTTGCGACCGTCGTCATCGCTTGTACAGGTCAGGGTGGCGCAAATTGAGCATCACAAGCAGCGTTTCGAAGCTCAGCCCGGACGTTGCCTTTGCTGCATCGCTGGCCTGAAGCTCCTTTTGCAGAAACGGGTGGTGCAAGAGCGAGTGTGTCGTCATGCGCTTCACAGGGTTCACTTGAAGGAGCCCGTCGACGACGTCCAAGGCGTCGGGCGAAAAATACCGCCCGAGGTGCCACACCTTGACGAGGGCGCGAATCCCGCTTGTGTGCAAGACGCGGTAGCGCTCGTCGTCGACCGACGTGCTCTCGATCGGCGGGGCGCCCGTGAGCATGATGTAGAGCAGAATGCCCAGCGACCACATGTCGGCGAGGAGCGGATGGTAGGCGACGCCTTGGTAGACTTCGGGCGCCATGTAAAAGAGCTTCCCGACACACTCGTGCCGCGTCGGCGCAATCGGCACAGCGAGGCCAAAGTCCATGATGCGGCACTGCTTGTTCGTGTCCACGAGGATGTTTTCGAGCGAGAGATCGCGGTGCGCAAACCCAGATGCGTGCAGAAAGCTGACGCCGCGTACGATCTGCCGAAAGTAGATTTGCGCGTCACGAAGGCCGAAGCGGCTCTGCGGCGCGTCGACGAGCACGGTGTAGAGCTCGCCAAACTTGCAGTGCTCAAAGACCATGTGCGTATGCGTCTCGTCGTCAAACGTGTCGAGGAGCGAGAGGACGTTCGTGTGGCCGCCGCGCGCAGCAAGCGCAGTGTACACCGCCTTCTCCATCTCGCCGTCTTCCTGCACCTTGCGCTGCGTCTTGCACGCGCGCTTGGCGCGCATGGCGGCGAGGCTGGTTTGCTTGATCACGACGAGCCGCCCGGTCGCGTTCTCCTTGCAGAGAAGCACTTGGCCGTAAATGGCGTCGGCGACCTTCTCGACCAGCGTGTACGCGTCCATGTGTCGGCAAGTCGAAGAATGCGCCGCAAGAACCGGAGCATCCGTTGAGGGCCAGATACAAACTCCATCGCTTGGCGCGAGGTTCCCGCCGTGATTCGCTTACAAAGTACTTGATATTTATATTTTAGTCAATCACAATCGGTTCAGAGCACAGAATGACGGTAGCTAGTACTTACTGTGGTAATTGTAACGCGACAGCATTGCTCACCATGGCGTTCGTCGTGCAACCCTCGGGCACGCTGCGCGTCATTGCCACGTACCTTCAATGTACCAAAGAGGGAGACTAACATGGAGTCGCCTTTGTAGGTGCGTTTTTATCTGTATATGTGAGATCTGATTGCAGGGAGATTAACGATCGACGGTACATACGCGCCTACGAGGCCTCACTGTGGGGAGGCCACGTGACTCACGCCAACGCAGCGACGAAAGGATGCCGACGACTTAGCGGATTCTGGCTCCATGCTCCCACGCGTTGAAGTCACGGGCGTTTCGTGTTGAAGCGCAGAGGGTGCTGCATCTGCATGTCGACTGGCTTGGAGGATCGACGCACGGTGAGTCACAATACTTGATTCGTGGCTCATCGTACAAGGCGGTGCACGGGTTGCTACGCGCAACGTACTGTTCATGCACTCGCTATGGAGCACATGCGAGTGACAAGGTGTACATGGTTCTGGAGAGGCAAATAAAGTGTTTTTTCTTAAATAATAGAGTACGGGTAAATACAGTGATCACGGACGCGCAAGGACGAGCACATGCAGAAGACGCCAATGCACGACGACTCATTTCAACGCGGTGGGTACGTCCGCGATGGATGCCAACGGCGCAGCTGTGATCTTGCGCGACGACGGTCGGCGAATGGTCTTGAAGCGGTGCATGACCGCGGATGCAAGGCCGACGCGCTTGGTCGAAGCGTCGGGCGCGGCCTTGTGCTCCTCGCCATTGGCGATCTTGACGTCCGCAATGTGCAGAATGGCCTCGGACGGATCGACGACAAAGGCGTGGTGGAGAAGGGCGTCGAGCGACAGCCGCGCACTTGCGTCCGGGTGCAGCAGCTGCCCAAGGAGGTCCAACGCGTCAGCGTCGAACAAGTGTGTCATCTTCCAGAGCTCGAGAAGCTTGGCCACGCCCTTGGCGCGAATGATGCGATAGCGGCTGTCCGACTCGGCGGCAACCTCCATCGGCGGGATGCCTGCGAGCATGATGAAGAGCATGATGCCAAGCGACCACATGTCGGCCTTGGCAGGGTCGTACGACTGACCCGAAAGCACCTCGGGCGCCATGTAGAACGTCTTTCCCACCGCTTCCTTGCGCAAGCTCGGTAGGCTCGCCGCGAGGCCAAAGTCGCAAATGTGGCACGTGCCGTTTCCATCGACGAGGACGTTCTCGAGCGAGAGGTCGCGGTGGGCAAAGCCGCGGCGGTGCATAAAGGCCACGCCGCGGACGACCTGGCGAAAGTAGGCGGTGGCCGTCGGAAGCGCCAGGCGCTGGCCCGGCGCGTTGCTCACAACGTCGTAGAGCTCGCCGCCGCTGCAAAAGTCCAAAACAAAGTGCTCGTAGCCGTCCTGAGCAAAGTCATCGCGCATGCGCAGCACGTTGGCGTGACCGCCGTCGGTGCTCAGCGCGCGGTTGACGTGCTTCTCGAACAGAATGTCTTCCGAGATGCGGCGGTTCCCGAGTAGCATCGTTTGGCGGCGCGCGGCCTCGAGCTTCATGCGCTTAATGGCCACGCGGTCGCCGGTGACGGCGTCGCGGGCCAAGACGACGTCACCGTACAGTGCGGGCGCTAGCACGCGGTCGATCGTGTATCTGTCCATGCTGGAGGTGGTGGGCGGATGGAAACTTGAAGAATGGACCCGTCGAAGCAAGTTGACAATCTCCAATCCAGGACCATCACTCTGTCTGAATTTCTTTTTATCCAATCGTATGGTGCACAGCAGCAAAGAGCCAATGAAAAAAGGCCTGTAGTTTTCGCTTCTCGTGGATTGGTTGAAGCGTGGTGGCCGCGTGGATCGTCGTTGTACGCTTTTGATTGGATGTTGCACCAGATGCACAGTGTGTAGCCAATCAGAACACACATCCCAGAGCTCCACCAATCCAGGGCCAGTCCGAGCCGGCTTCGATGCGACCATGCCCGAAAGTTCACGTGGCGCGGTCATTTTTATCGAAGGTTTTATAGCCATTGGCCATTTGTATTCACAGGCGCGAAATGTAAAAAATAAGATCTGATTGATGGCTGGATCCTGGACTGGATGGTTGCTGTGAGATTCGAGCTCTCACTCTGTGCTCCTGTCGCACGCTTTTGAACATGTACGCATATGATGCAAGGCACTTTCTTGCATGTAGCATTTTTCGAAGCACCGCGTCTGGTCGGCCGAAGTATCGGAACAGGCTGGCGGGAACGGCAGAAGGACCAGTCTTGGCGCCAAACCGCAGAGTGGGACGAATAGTATCTCGGAAATGTTGGTCGTGCTCGGAGGATCACCATCGAATGTTGTATGGCGCACAACCGCAGCCTGGAATTCGCCCACAACCCAAGCAGCCCATGGCATCCGTACTGGATTTAACTTAATTCAACCAGAGCTCGAATAGGTTTTCCGCGACAACGCACTCGAAGCGATACCTACTATTTACTAGTACTAGTACTAGTACTAGTATATGTTATCGTCATCGGCCAGAAGAAGCAAGGCGGTGAAGAGGCGATGGCTGGAAAGGCAATTTGACGGTTTCACGCCCGTGACGTGGCAAGCGGTCCGAAGCGCTTGCAGTGCAATCTCAAAAATTGAAAACCTGGTGTCGTCCATAGACGTCGTCACTGAATACGCTCGTCCGCTTTCGGCCGCACCCTTTTTCTCGAGGACGAAGAAAGGAATTCTGTGTGTCGGTTTCAAAATCTCTTGGGGTTCGAACCTGAAGAAGCTTCTGAACGAGTGCCTAGACTCTTGCTAGCATTGCTGGTTCAGAACAGAATCTGTCGAAAGACGACCCACTTCAACAACACACATGTACTAGAGCTCGGTTTCATTTCGAGTTGTACTATGGTATATTGTGAATCATTTCGAAGCAAGACTCTTGGAGACAAACCATGCAAGTGATATGGCTGCGCAGGTCTTGTCGCCGTCTTGTAGATCGCGTATGTTGTATGGTCGTGATTGGGTTCGGACGCAAGGCTAGTGGTATGACGACTAGACGGAACATGCCAAATGTGATGTACTACATGGTGGACCCCTGGCCCCAGCAACAAGAATCATAGTCACTTTCCCGCATTCGTGGAAAAGGCGCATCGCCGACTACACGACTACTCGCCGCAGAACAATTCAAGGTCGAGCTATCACGGCCGAATTCAGAACAATTCAAGGTCGAGCTATCACGGCCGAATTCGGATTGTCATACGAGCGACCAGCGGGCACGATCGAAAGCGTCCAATTGACCGAGGCACGCTGCGGCAACAGCACGATCTCGACATCCTCATGGCGGTTGCTGTGGCGCTTGCGGAGGCCGTGATATTCTTTAAAAAGCTCCCTCCTTGTCGCTCCTTTTGCTACATCATTTGTTAACAATACGAACTTCGTCCACGGCGAGGTTTGATTGGCAAAAGAAGCGCGGTGGCTATCAATAGCCACCGGCCATGATGACTCAACGCCACGTTTTCATTTTGAATTCTTCGCCATCGGCATGCAGCGCATCCGCCTATCTCGGCTGCTGCTGGCGCCAACTATTCTCGCGGTGACATCGGCGCTCGATGGGTGTCAGCAGTGTGAAGTCAACCGCAATTGCGCGACGGCGTATCGCAACGCGCCGGGTCAGTTTTGCGGCCACTGGCTCACGAGTACCGGCGCCAAGCTCGGCTGCTGCTGCCCCACAGGCGCCATTTGCGCGACGACCAACTATGCATGCGAGTGCAAGAATCGACCGACGACGTCGTCCAGCTCGAACGGCGGACTCATCGGCGGCATCATTGGCGGCGTCATCTTCATCTGCCTCGTCGTGGGCCTTGCCTGCTTCTTTAAGAGGTGCATCAAACTCTGCTGCAGCACTCGCCACGTCATCACGGTGCCGCAGCAAGCAGTGCCAGTGGCCGTACCCATGGCACTGCCCATGGCGTACCCGCCGCAAGGCCAGGGCGGGTACCCAGGGCAGCCCGTGAAACCACAGCCATACTATGGCGGCCAGCCCCAAGCCATGTACCCGGGGCAGCAGCCGCAGCAAGTGGTGTACCCCGGGCAGCAAGGTGTGTACCCCGGGCAGCAAGCCATGTACCCTGGACAGCAAGCCATGTACCCTGGACAGCAGGTTATGTACCAACAACACCCGCAGCCGGTGATGTACCAGCCCCAACCTCAAGTGTTTGGTGGGGCCCATGTCGTCGTGGCGCCGCACCCCGTCGTCTACGGCGGCAACAACGGGTTCGTTGAAGGCATGATCGTCGGTGGCATGCTCGACGGTGGACACCACCACCACCACTTTGGCGGCTTTGGCGACGGCGGCGACTATGGTCGTGATGGTGGCGACTTTGGCGGCGGCTGCGGCGACGGTGGCGGCGGCACCTTTGGTGGTGACTTTTAGTCGAAACTATTTCATTCATTGCATTGCTAGCATAAACAACGACTTTTCCATCATTTCAGTTTGAATCGTATGTGTTCAATTACTAAAACAGCCCGCGTGCAGAGCCCAGTCACGGCGAGCAGCGCCGTCGCCCCCACAAGCCCCAGCTGGAGACCACTGGCTTGAAACCGAATCCATGTCTGGGGTTGAAACGGAGTGTCTACAGCTCTCGCCGCCCTTGGTTTTGACGACGACAGCGATTCGCAGTCACTTCGTCGAGACCATCGAGACCGACTCGGTCTCGGCCAAGGACGCATGTGCCAAGCGAGCGCGGTGCAGAGCCTCGACGAACCTGGCGCGCAGCTGCGGCGAGCCATGTTCCATCGAGAGCAATGGAAAGCTGAACAGTGTTGCGCAACGTAATTGGCGTCTCTCTTCGTCCATCTTCCTCTTGTACAACAGGTTGCGACCGCGACAATGATGACGTGGCATCCTGGACAGACACCCAAATTTCGAAGCCACGGAGCGTGCTCTGATTGGTCCATGGATATACGATGGCGTCTTCGACTGGTCATTTCGGCATGTGGTCGACCTTGGAAGCGCAAGGCCTGCAGGCGTCGGGCGCCGCGCTCGTCGTCGTCGTCGCGCTCCTCGTGCGCTGGCTCGTCTCGCTGCATCCGTACTCGGGCATGGGCCTGAGTCCGATGTTCGGCGACTACGAAGCCCAGCGCCATTGGATGGAGCTCACGTTCCAGCTGCCTGTGTCGCGCTGGTACCATTACGACCTCTTGTACTGGGGCCTCGACTACCCGCCGCTGACGGCGTACGTCTCGTACGTCTGCGGCGCGGTGGCTAGCATAGTCGAGCCTGCGCTCGTGGCCTTGGACGCGTCGCGCGGCTACGAGACCGTGACGAGCAAGGTGTACATGCGGGCGACCGTCCTCGCCTGCGACCTCGTCGTCTTCATACCGTCGCTCGCGCTGCTCGCCAAGTGCATCTATCACAAGCAGTGGATGCTTCGCATGGAGCTGCTCATGCTCATGCTATTGCAGCCCGCGTTCATCTTGATTGACCACGGCCACTTTCAGGTTACTTTGCTTCTGGCTGTTAAGATGGTGTTATATCGATGGAAACTAGTACAACAACGTGTCGCTGGGCTTGACGACGCTCGCAGTTGCGTGCATTTTGCGCGATTATAACTTTGTCGGCGCCATTTGCTACTGCCTCGCGCTCAATTTCAAGCAAATGTCGCTCTACTACGCGCCGGCCATCACGTTCTACCTCTTGGCCAAGTGTTGGTATGGCCCTCGCTTCCTATCCCTCTTTGCCACGCTTGCGACGGCTGTTGTGCTGACGTTCTCGCTGCTCTGGGCGCCGTTTTGCGTCGTCTCGGCTACAACCTGCGTCGACGGCCTTGCCCAAGGTGCGCGATCCCTCGCGACGTTGAGATATGAGGTTGCTGATAGTGCTGCACCGCATTTTCCCCATCGGACGCGGCCTCTTTGAAGACAAGGTGGCCAACGTCTGGTGCTGCCTTGACCTCTTCCTCAAGCTGCGGCAGCGCGTCGCCAGTCAGGAGCACCTCGTCTACCTCTGGTACGTTCTGAACATCAATGCGTGCCAGTTTCGATTGCCATATTAGCACGCTCGCCACGCTTCTCGCCTTTCTCCCGTCCATTGTCGACCTCCTTCGACGACCACCGAGCCGCACGCGCTTCTTCCTCAGTCTCTTCAACTGCTCGATGGCCTTCTTCCTCTTCTCGTATCAAGGTCGGCGGCGCAGATTGTCTCGAGGTCTTGAGCAGACCTTTTATGATGGCTAGTGCACGAAAAGTCCATTCTGCTGCCGCTCCTGCCCATGACGTACTTGCTGTCGGAAGCGTCGCTGGTCGCGAGCCACTTTGGGGCTGTCGCGACCTTTAGGTACCCCTCTTGTCGATCGACCGTCTGTCTCAGGACAGTGTAGCATGTACTTTTTGCTCGTCAAGGACGGACTCTTTGTCCCGTATGTGGCCGGCAGCCTCGGCTACGTCTGCTTTGGCATCTACCCGTACCTCACGTCGTCGCGGTTGCATGCAACGGTCAACGTCTCGGCGCCCGGTATCGATACCGACGGCCGCGCTGGCAACGCATCTTCGTGCTCGTACGACGTCGCTGGATGCATGTACTGTGGGTCTTAGCGTCGCGTAGGTGTCGCTTTGCGGTATGCTCGTGCTGCACTTGGTCGCTGCGATCGTGCCACCGCCCGCCAAGTACCCGCACGTCCACCAGTACCTCTTCGCGCTCTACTCGTGCGCTCACTTTGTGCTTGCGCTCGTCTACACAACGTACTGGCAGTGGACGCTCCGAGACGTCGCCAAGGGCAAGACGGACTAGACTAGACTACTAGTAGCACATAGTATGTACTTGGTTTGAGCCACCGCCAATTTACTTGCGACACCATGTAATGATTTGTGTGGTGACAACGCTACAGAGTGCCAAGCATTGTCTGGCGCCGCGTGTGACGGCAGAGCATCACCAAAGGGTTTCCGGGTCTCGTGGGGCGGGCAAGTTGCTCGACAAGTTGTGCGAGCGGCACTTGCAACTTGAAGTAGCTTTAGGTGGTCGTGATAAGCAGGCATGGGCATGCGCAGGTGCCGGCGTGTTGAGCAATCATTGAGGGTGATTGGACGCCGATCCGCAGTGCACGTGTTGGTGTAGACCACATGTCTCTCAGTAGACAGAGTAAGGTGAGTACAGAAAGAATAAGTTAGTATAACGTTATTAGGAGGCGGTCGCCAGCGTCGAGAGGTACCGCATCGAGAGCATGGGCTTGAGCGCATGCACGCTCATCAAAACCGGCTGGCTCGCCGACCGCTTGCGCAGGTTTTTCAAGACGGGCGGAGTCGGGTGCAAAAACTTGTGGGCGAGCACTTCGTCGAGCGACAGTCGACGCATCGGACTCGGGTTCAAGAGCTTGGTGATGAGGTCGAGCGCGGCCGGCGAGAGGTGCAGGCCGACGCGTGCGATGAGCGCCGACACGCCGGTCTCGGGCGAGGCCGCTTGCGCCTCGAAAAAGATCTTGTAGTTTTGGTCGCGGAGCGTCGCCTCTTCAAAGAGCGGGCGGCCCGTGAGGAGCATGAAGAGAACGACGCCGAGCGCCCAGCGGTCCGCGGCCTGCGCGTTGTAGGCGCGGCGCATGAACATCTCGGGCGCCATGTAGTAGAGCTTCCCGACGCCGCCAAACTTGGTCGGCGTCGAGAGCAGTCCAAGGCCAAAGTCGCAGAGTCGGACGCCGCTGACGCCGTCGAGCAAGACGTTCTCGAGCGACACATCCAGATGGGCAATGTCGTGCCGGTGCACGTGGGCGAGGCCCTTGGCGATTTGCCGAAAGAGACTCACGACGTGGCCTTCCGTCCATTGCGTCGACGTCGAGAGGAGGCTCGAGAGGAGGTCGCCGCCGGCGCAGTAGTCGGTCACCAAGTGCAGTTGGCCGTTTTCAATAAAATAGTCCCGGAGCTGTACGACGTTCTCGTGCGGGTGCTGTTGCAGCGCGCGGTTGATCGTGAGCTCCTTGTACCCGAGTTCGCGCGGGTCTACCTCGTCGACATTCGTCGCGCCCGTTGGAAAACTCTTGATGACGACGAGATCGCGGCTCGGAATGTGCTGGTACACAGCCAAGGTCGCGTCCGTCTGCGCGAGCGGTCGCACAAAGTCGTACGTGTTGGCGAGGTGCGAGTGGGGCATGGCTCGATAAATAAGAACTACCACGCGCCGAGCGCCAAATCTAGCACGACCGGTAGTACACTGTGCTCGAGCTGGAGATAGGAGGAGACGGCTTCTTGAATCTGGCACGCGCCAACCTGCGACAGATGCACTTTTAAAATGCAAACGAGATTCTTTTTAATGCAAAAGATTCAGCGATGTATACAAACGCAAGGTACTTAAATGGCGGACGAGTGAGATTGCACTGTATTTTAATGCACTTGAAGTTGGCGCGGCGGTCTTTGTATAGACACGGCTACGAAATGCAAAAGCCGACAATTTTTGCCACTTGACACGAAATTGGACCAATATCCGGATGTATCGACGTTATCCGGATTACTGCTGCATGACGTCATCCCGATGACGGACCCGCGTTCGACCGGGCCGACGACCAAGGCGCGTTAGGCGCCAACAACGTACATAGGAATGTTCGAGGGCGCGTTGTCTATCCAAGAAGCTGCGAAAAACAGAATTTAGCTGGCGTATGACGGCCGTATTAAAGGGTCAAAATGGCGCGAAATATTGCAGCCTTTAGCGTGTACCTGTGACCAGTAGACGTGAGTGCGATGGCTTATCACATTTTTCGGACGATCGCAGGTGATGGCTACTTGCAGCGCCGTCCGATTGGCCGAGGAGAGGCTAATGGAGGCGCGTGATGCTCGGCTGTCATGGCCCTGCGTCCTGCGACCAGACACGTCTGAGCGTCTCTGGGGTCGCATTCAGACGCGCTTTGACCAAGCGCGCACGCCAGGTGCCCAGCCTGCTCGCGTCGCACTGCTCCTACATCCGCGTCGGTAACTATTAGCTGCGCATCTACACGCTGGATCCAGCTAGGATACGGGTGGCACCACATCGCGTGCTAAAGTCCCAGCAATAGCAGAAGCGAACGAACGTCGCAGGACCAAGCGCTCGTGGTTGACACGACACAACAATATATTAGATGGGACTAGGCACGGTAGATCTTGATGACTTCGCGGATCCGGGCACGGCACACAGGGCACTCGGCCGTCGACTCGAAAATGCTCGACGCACAGCCGAGGCACATGGTGTTGTGGCCGCATGGCACGCACACGGCGTCGCACCCGTCGTCGAGGCACACGATGCACTCGGCTTGGTACAGCGCGGGTGCGGTCGGCGCTAACCAGACACGCAGGCTGGAGTACCACCCACGATATCCACCATACCTGGGCTCGGTAAAAGCACGTCATCCAGCGACGGAGCGGTCGGGGTGCACGGCGATGGAGGCGGCGGGGCACGGGCCGCCGCAGACGACTCCATTGCGTTCGTATGATATGGTCGGCAACGACATGCAGTACCTCGGTGCGGACCGACGACGAGCGGTAGGCCTCGGGGTCCATGCACGGATCGAACACGGCTTGCAGCTACGCACCGCGTATGTGCGATGCTCGTGGAGCTATAAGCGCGCCGTACCGCATCCGTGACGAGGAAGGTGGTCCACGCGGCGTAGCCGTCGGCGTTGACCGCCGCAAACTCGAGGGGCTCGTGCACCATCGTCGGCAGCGACGTGTGCGCGTCGGCCTTCTTGACGCACTCGAGCGTAAAGGCAAAGGGCTTGCTATTGAAGAGCTTTTGCTTGCTGTTGAAAGTCACCGCGTCGGCGCCAACGCGGAAGAGCACGACCGACCTACGACAACAAGGTCGTCAACGTGTCATGGGATCGAGCGTCGTACGATGGCGTCGACGACCGCTCCCAGTTGGCCTCGTCGCGTCGCTCGGTCGAGAACGAGTAGAGCACGAGCTCAAAGTGCGAGCGCAGTGCGGTGCGCAGCACAATCCCATAGCTAAAACGTCCTCAGCGGTCCCTTTCACTGTTGTGCCTACGTACCGTCGTTTCCACGACTGCAGCGCGGAGACGCTCAGCGCGCGCGAGGCCAGGTTGTCGATGCTTTCGTAGACCCAGCCTTCAAAGACGGTGCAGCGCTATTGCAATGCCACGTCATGACATCCGCTGACGAGGCAAGAGTACCTGCTCGAGGATGTCGACGCAGGTCAGGAATCGCCGCGGCGCTTCGTCCACGTCTTCGTACAAAGCGCGCGCTTGGTCGAGCGGCGACTGCCCAAGCGCGTTGAGGCGGAACGGCGAGACGCCATGCAGCGTCACGAGGTACTGGAGCACCTCGGCCTTTCCGGCGAGCACAGCGTGGTGCACGGCGCTATCGCCGCGGTTGTCGACTTGGTCGCGGAGGTAGAGCTGCGTCGCCTCGTGCTCAAAGAGCGCGTGCACGACGGCGAGGTGGCCCTTGGCGCAGGCGAGGAGGAGCGGCGTGCACCCACTCGCGTCCGTGGTCTCGAGCGCGTCGCGGATGGCGTCGGGGCCATGGCCCTCGAGGTAGGTTGTGACGGCGCCAACGTCGCCGTTCTTGGCCGCGTACCAGAGCGTAGAGCCTGGCTGGACGACTGTGATCGCCCATTCGTACAGCGCTTGGAGGCCGAACATGGTGACGAAAATACGTGTGTGCTGGGCATGGACAAGATACAATATCATATTGGCACATCAATATGAGAAAGCGTGTGGGAATATGAATATATTTGTGACGAATGCAATATGGGTACAACGCGCGCTGGCAAGCACAGCGCGTCGCGGCCCGCAACTTGCGGGCTGGGCTAGTAGTAGAGACACGACCTCGCACTCTGTTCTTCTCTGTAGATGGTGGTTGACGTGCGTTCTCGAGGTCACACGTAGGCATATTGCATCCGTTCGAGCCCAACGGGCATGATAGCGCGCTCCACTACAGAGTGATGGTAATATATGCAGAGTGTCGATCGTAAAATGCGCTGAATTCATGACAGACGACGACGCCGAGGAGAACGAGAGCTCACCCTGCAGCGCTGTGCTTGCTCGTCCCACATGACGCAGTATGCATCACACGCAGAAGGCGCGAAGGCTTGCGCGATGGCAGCGCAGACACGCACGTAGCGTCGGCGAAAGGCTCCTGTGACGTGGCACGTGCGGATCACGTTGGCGTCAACGTCATCCTCCGAGGCCTTGTATTACACCTCGCTGTGCTACCATGCCCCGTTGAAGGCTGTAGTCATGCTAAAAACGATCGACAGGCGCAGGGCGGACATGGCAGGTCCGATTAGCCTGCGTTTCTACTAGTAGTTGATTTCGTTAGCACTGGAACAAGCGAATGATCTGGAGGATCTCGGCGCGACACACGGGGCATGTTTTGGCGTCTTGGGCCATGATCCGATCGGCACACTCCATACAGACGGCGTTGTGGCCGCACGGAACACAGACACCGACCTGCGGCGCGTCATAGCACACGACGCACTCGCGACTTGGCGCTGGCAGCAGCGCATGGACCGCTGGCGCACTTGGTGCAGAATACGCCGGGGCACTCGCTGCCTGCGGTTCGCAGAACGACGGCGCGGTGGCCACAAACCGCCGGTCGTCGTCGACCTCGTCGAACGTGTCGACGGCCAGTTGCTTCCTCGGCACGGGTGCCGGTGGCAACGGAAACAGTTCGTTGTACGGCGGTGGCGGCATGGCAGGAAAGAGTTCGGTCGATGACGAGCTTTGGCGTCGCACGCGCGGTGGCAAGAACGAGTCGTTCGACCGACTGCTGGCGCTGCGCTGGGCTGCGTGCTACGTACATCAATGAGTCGACGCCGCAGCCGATGTGGCAACGCACCATCGAGGCTTGGACAAAACACTCTTCAAAGAATGCAACCCATTTCTCCAGGCTTGGAGCATCGACCGCGGCGCACTCGACGCGCTGCAGAGCGCCAGGCTCGGAGAGATGGGCCTGTTGAAGTACATGAAACGAAAAGGTATGCTCGCGGTTGTTGATGGTGCGCTTCGTGCCGGGCAGCGTGAGCGGATCGCCCTTCTCGTAGATCCAAAACGACCTAATGCGCCGTGTGTGAGTCGCAAGCGTACATGGCGATACGTACTCGGGCGCCGATGGACGCACGCCATTTTCGCGCTGATCGTAGACAACGAACTGCAATGTCGACGTCTCGTGGCCCGTCGCCAGCACGAGTACGAAGCGGAGGCGCCATGTGTGGCAGTTGAGCCCGACGGTGTTGAGAATGTACTTGTTGGCGATCGAATCGAGGACGCTTTCGTAGAGCCAGCCAGAGTACACGAGCAGCCGCTAGGATGGGCCCATGAGTTTGATGCCCATGGTGGCGGAGGTGTCGTGTACCTGCTCAAGAAGTCGAATGCACTTGACGATGCAGCCGAGCTTGTCGCCGACAGCGCACGCACGCCGCGCCACATCGAGCGCCGTGAGCGAGCTCAAAGACCGAGCATGCGGGTCCATCTCGGGCAGCGTGAGCAGCCACTGGACGACAACGTACTGCCCGTGCTGGCTCGCACAGTGGAGCGCTGTGAAGCCCGCAAGGTTGACGGCCATGAGCTCAATACCGCGTGCGTACAGCACTTTGGCGCACTCGAGGTGCCCGCTGAGGCATGCTATCATGAAGGGCGTGTTGTGTGTCTTGGCGTCTGGCGCGTCGACGCCTTCTGTTGCTCGACGCACGACGTCGACGAGGCCGTACTTGGCGGCAAACCACGTGGCTTGCTCGGGCGGGAACGCGCTAGACGCGAACGCACTGCCGAGCTTGTCACGGGCTTTCTGTAGCTTGTCGCTGGCAGCGCGCTGCTTGCGCCGCCAGTGCTCGGCCTTGGCCGCGTCGCGGACGTAGCTCTCTGCCTTGAAGATGCACTTCTCTCGGCGCGTCGTGCCATCGAGCACCTTGTCGTACAGCTTCTCGGTTTTGCGAAGCACCTTGTCCATGAGGATGCGGAATGAGCCGCTTCGACGGATCGCGCAGAGCCTGTTGGACTTTGCGTGTCCGGTTCTGCAACGACTTCGAAAACTTCGAGTCGACTTCGACGGTCTATTTTGGAATTGCACTTTTACCAGTTTGCAGTTTGCGTAGCCTATCGAATGGGCATGCTGCGACAGTAGATTCGCTCGATTCTAGAGGGCTACAAGGACATCCTGACGGTACAAGTAGCTTCACGACGACGACGACGCTTGACCGCAAACCAGTCTCGTTGGCACGTCGCATATATTTGTTCGAACTACGATTGCATAGAGTGTTGGTCGGTGGAATGCACGTCCAAGCGCAAAGCACTGAGATCTGAGTCCCTCGCTCGCTAGCACTCGGCATAACACTCCAAACAACGACTCTATATTCACCTAGGCAGTCGCAATCAGCTTGGCAGTCGCAGTGGTGCGAGGCCGGAGCCTTGGGATGGGTCGTCCATCAACGCTCAAGCCGTGAGGTGAGGATCATAAAATCTTGGAAGGAAAGGTGCAGTTTTTTAAGTTAGACTCACTTTGGACGAATGGCAGTTGATTTCGACTTCGCGTCGGTAGAGCACGCGCTCGTGCTCCTGCAGCGCCATGTACTCGGTCGTCGCAAGCTGCATGGCGTGCGCGACGTTGCACTTGGTCGCGTGAAAGTGGTGCATTGCGCGGTCGTCCGTGAGCACGGACGTCACGTCGCTCTTCTGGACGCTACCGAGGTTGGCGCCGTCCGACGTGATGAGTCCGAGCGTGCCGTCGTCGTTGTACGCAAACACGAGGCCCCGCACATGCGCGGCGACCGTCGACGCCAGCGACGCCTTCCGATATGTCTTGACGATGTTGCCGACACCATACCGCACGACATCGAGCATGCCAAGGTACTTTTTGAAGAGGAACGGGTGGGCGTCCATGGTCGATGGCGACCACATGTGCAGTGCGCGTGGGTGCGGTCGGTCCGCGACGTCGGCGAGGTAGCGCTCGCGGAGGCTCGTTTCGACGCGGGGAAGTGGCCCGACCTGATGGGCCACGCCAATCTTGGCAGCCGCCGCGTAGTTGAAGCGGATCTCGTGCTCTTGGAGCTCCACGAAAGGCTGGTGAAGGTTCTCAGGATTGTACCGGAAGCGGCAAATGAACCTCTTCTCCTCGTCGTCCGAGTCGATCTCGTGGCCTTGGCGGATGACGTTGAGGCGGTCCATAAAGTCGAGTGCGGACACGACCTTGCACGTCCCACGCACGTGCTTGAGCAGATTCCGATCCGTTTGCGTCGAGAAGAAGACCTCGCGCTGCAGAACGGGCGTCTCCAGCTTTTGCAAAATATCCGGGGCAATGTCTTCGGCCCGATAGAACCACTGCCCGACAAATGTGCTCGCCGTCGATGGGCGCGCAAGCGACTGCATACTGCGGACAACAGCGACGCCTTCGTAGTCGCGGCCCAAGTCGACGAGGACGCAGTTGCCCACTTCGATCGCCGAGTCGTCGTCGCAGGCCGGCGCCGTCGTCGTCGTCGTCTCGTTGTCGCTGGGCACGTCGTTGGGCTTGGTCCGCTTCGCCCGGCGCTCGGCCGAGTCGAGGTACGTCGGAGACTCGCATGCATAATTGGCTACGCTATTGCGCGCCTCGCGCGATGGCATCGATCGGCGGCGCGGGGCGTCGGCGTCCATCTTATCGTCTCGGATTCTTCCACTACTGGAGCGCCGGCCACAGTATTTATTTTGGTTTTGACCAATCTCATTCGAGTCTGAACGGAAACGATATATGATTGGCTATAATACCAGATCGCCGCTTCGAACCCCGCTTTACGTAATTGGCACTTTGCTCGTGTGTTTCAACGGCGCACTCGTCCAATATCGTTGCTTGGACGTGGATAGTGCGCTCGCAAGTAGTGTATAGCAGCGCGATTTGCAGCGAAAGTTGACTGCCGCCCACCCACGATTGATGGGATGCTTCATTGAGGACATGCTTCTCGAGGCTCAGAGGTCGCCTGGGTCCGAGTCCTCGCGACGGATCGCGTCGGAAAGGACGCTTCTCAATGCGACAAGGGTGTTGCCATGCATGGTGACTCCTAAGACCTCGGCTGCTGGAGCGAGACCGGTTGTCTCTGGTGATCGGTCGCTACAGAGCGCAGTCGTCGAGCTACCGGTACACTGAGGTTTGCGAGAGACTGCGGTTTGCGAGAGACTGCACTTAGATGCTGCAGTCCTTCCGAGCATCTTCCATTCAAGCTGGCGGGCGAGGGATACTTCGACGCAGGATCTGGTTGGCACACATGCCACTCTCGAGAGAAGGCATCTACGTTGTGACCGTCATTTTCACTCGCAATACGAACAGTGCGCGCCAGTATGTACCTCCCAGCAGGACGATGGTCTCCCGCTCGACACATTGGGACGTGATCTTGGACGTGATCGTCCGGATAAAGCCACGTGGCAACGGGAGCGTTTAGGTTGTAACCGGAGAACGAGCAGCACAGGGACATGGTCTTCCCAGCCTTCCAACGTCCTTGAATGAAAACTGTGTCCATCGATATGCTTGCTGGTGCAGTGAATCTAAAGCCCTCTTGACGTCAAGCCGTGAGATCAGCCAGGGGATGCAGTCCTGTCGTAATAAAACAAAATAATTAAAATACATTCGCACCCTCGGGGATTCTTCCTCGATGACTATTTGACGCTAAAAAGGATATATATACTGTTGCATTTCTATCGTGAAATAGTGTTCTGCAATGTGGCCCAGCATACTGAATGGAAATGAAATCAGATCGTACATGTAACACTAAATAAGGTACGCGACACGCCGTACACAGACAGACAGGCTGGGCACTTTTCGATTGGCGGAATGATGCTCGAGCGCCAAGCCTCGCGGAGCCTGCAGGCGCTGGAGAGCCTCGAGAAGAGCCTCGTATCGCTCAAGCTCAAGCGCAGCAAGCTCCGCTCCAAGCAGGCAGGTCTCAGCGACCAGGACGTCTACGGCGCGCAGCTCTACGCCAAGAAGCTCGCCCTGCTCGACGCCAGCGTCGCCGACCTTCAAGCCCGCAAGGAGGACGCGTTCCGCGTCGAGTTTTTCGACCCAGAGAAGGTCCCGCTGTTCGCTGCAGCGTATGGCGTTGTCAAGGTACTCCAAGACTTTGTGGCGACGATGACACCCGCGACGAGCGCGTTCCTCGAGCAGCGCGACGAGACGACCGGCAGTACGCCGCTTCTTATGGCCTGCAGCAAAGGCTACGTCGACTGCGCCAAGATCCTTATCGCGGTCGGCGCCCACGTCGGCGCCATCAACAGCACGGGATCTACGGCGCTGCACTGCGCCGCAGCGGCCGGCCACCCCGAGGTCGTCCAGCTCCTCCTCGCCGTGCCGTACTTTGACCCGTACGTGCGCAACCAGCGTCAGCTCACAGCACTGCATGTCGCACGCATTGCATGCCTCGAGCACGACCACTGGGCAAGCTTTGAAGAGTGTGCCCGGCTGCTGGAAGAGGTATCATTGCAGGCTTGGCCGTCGCCCGACTCATGGCATACTACATCGCGTAGCGCTGCAGCCTCTACCGCGGGTGGCTCTACGAAAGCGTCGAGTCGCCACTTGTCAAGATGCCGCTGGGCCTCCGCCCGTGGAAGCTGAGGTACGCGCCGTCGGCGCCACGCCGCCGCTCACGTCTCTCGAGTAGGTTTGTCATCGTGTTGCGGACCGACGTGCGCTCGACGTCGCTCGAAATGTCGTTCTTCGACGCCAAGCAAGGCAGCCGCCTCCCGCCCGTGCCGAGGTATTGTTCCGAAGCAAGACGCAATGTCCAAGAACACTCACGTCAATGTGGTAGCTCGACGGTTCTGTACAAGCTCGGCACGCCGATGGTGAAGCCAGGCACGCAGCGTGCGTTTGGCAACAAGGATCATTCGTTCTACTTTGCCGGCGCCCACCGAACGCACGAGGACCAGCCCAGTGTCATGCGCAAGCTCGAGTGCGCGGCCTTGGACGCAAATGGCTTGGCGTCATGGTCGATCTTCTTTGATACCTACAGCGTACTCATCGCATCGTTAAAGACATGGCACTGATCTACGAACGATACCACTGCGTAGATGACGAAAGATGTGCCCGACCCTTTGCTCGTGCCACTTGTCGCGGCGACGCCGCCACCGCCGGCCACCGAGACCCCTTCCATGCTGCAGCAACTGCCCCGCCGGTCTCGCCGCAGCCTCTCCGAGCTGACGTCGGCCGAGTCGAACGCTCAAGTTGCGGAGGCGTCGTCGGTGCTGCAGCTTCCATGGCGGACCCGGCGCGGCCACTCGGATACCAAGCCAATGGCGAACGAGACATCGTCGTCCGTGTTGCAAGTGCCGTGGCGCCAACCCAGCCTCTCGGAGCCCAAGCAGCTCGCTCTGCCCGAGCCCGAGGCAGCAGGAGAGGTCGCGCCGTCGGCACCGCTCTTGTCGCCGATCAACAAGGTCGTTGCCGCCAGCGCCCCGCCGCTGGACGAGAGCGGGCTGCTCAATCTGGCCGGCCAGCGCGAGTGCGTCGTGTGCTTTGACGGTCCACAGAGCGCTGTCTGCGTCCCGTGCGGGCACAACGCCGTCTGCATGCGCTGCGCCGACCACCTTCTCGCGGCGCCCGTGAAGCAGTGTCCCGTGTGTCGATCGCCCGTGCGCGAAATCATCCGGCTCTTCCAATGCTAATTCTCTAACTTAACCTACCCCTTTGACGCCCGCTCGACTCGTCTCGCTCGCGTCCTCGGAGTTGTCGCAACGAATTGGATATTGCAGAGCCCTCTTCTTTCTCTCGATTCGCTCGGCACTCGAGCGTCGTCCTGAGCGAATCCAAGTCCTTGCAAGCGTTGCAATCGGCGGCAGAGCGACGCCGTTTGTCAACGTCCTCAAGAGATCCCAGCGACGGCGTAGCGGCGTCACCGACTGGAGGCGCGGTGCAGGACGATTTCTGCGTCCTTTCTGCGACTCGAATCGATGCGCGCATCTCTGTGAAGAGCCCACCGCCACTAGGAGCGAGAAGAAAGGAACAGCACCTGCCACGGGCCTTCCGCCCCTGCTTCCACCCGCACCTCCTGCATGAGACACCTCCAAAGGCGTTTGTTTATCCCCTTGGAAGACCGCGCTGGAATGCTTGCGTATGATTGGGTGAAAACGGCGCGTAGAGCACACGGCAAGTGTGGACAGATTGTCCTTCATCTCGTGGACCACAAAAAACGCGTTCGTCACGGAACGAGGCATGACATTGTATCGCAATTGTTACGTGCTCGTCGTATCTTCGTGCTGCGGAGGCTCGTGTGCGCTGAGCTCGATCGAGCCGCGGCGGGACATGGACCGCGTGCGGAGCAAGACGAGGTTCGCGATGCTGTCGACGAGCGCGTCGTCATCGGCATGCGTTTTCTTGGCGTCGATGCTGCCGTGGTGGTCCCCTTCGCAGAACGAAAAGCCGCGGAACGTATCGCGGTCGCCGCCAAACTCGGAGCAGTCGAGGTCCGTGGGCGGGAGGCCCGTAAACTCGGCGTCAAAGTTGCTCGTGTCCGTCTCGCTGTGAATGACCGGAATCATCGGCGGCGGGACTTGCAGCGCCACGATGGCGTTCCAATCAATGCCCTAGCACGACACCTCTACAGTCCCATTCCATGCCCATGCAAAAACACACGAACCTTGAAGAACGGGTGCGCCTTGAGGGCTTGGACACCGCGGACAACAAACATGGACGACTTGCCCGCGCCGAGACGCTTGTCCACGTTGCGTTCGAGGAGCGACTTGAGCAGCGAGTGCGCGTCGGACGAGAGCCATTTGGGCAGTGCGAGCTAGGTCATAATATTGTACAAGATGTGCACAAGACACTATTGTCGTCTACCTTGGCCGTGAGAATTTTCTTGTGCAGTTCTTTGCGGTTCTTGTTCTTGGTCTCAAACGGCGACCGCCCAACGAGCATCTCGTACGCGAGCGCGCCAAGCGACCACCAATCGACCGCCTGCGTGTAGCCGTTGCCTAAGATCATTTCCGGCGCCTAGGAAAGCGTATGTGGCTCCTCGACAAGTACATGCTCGTCCACAGACCATGTACTCTTGCGTGCCGCAAAACGTAAAGACTTCGTCGCCCTAGTGCACAATAGTGTCACTAGTTGAATCCCGTCGTCGCAGTCATAGACAATAATCCGTACGTCGTTCACTTGCTTGGCCAGACCAAAGTCTACGCCCCGACCATCAACGATTTGGTGGAGAAGACTGCGGTACCCGTGAGCTTGACGTGCCCTTCGGCCGAAATAAGCACATTCTCGGGCTTGAGATCTCTGCCAGTCAGTTCAAGTTGAGAGACGACGGCGAGAAGCGAACGCACCGATGGATGATGCCCTTGCTATGCAAATGCTCGATGGCCAAGACCATTTCCGCAATGTAAAACTTGGCTTTGGCCTACGCGACTCGGAAGGGCCCGACATGGGAGGAATATATAGAGAGAGGCGCACCTCCATCAAGAGGCCTTCTTTCGCCAAATGTGAGAAGAGCTCGCCGCCCGGCTGGTACTCCATGATGAGGTAGACCTACCAGCGTGGTCTCGACTGCGTGCATCGACTCATCGCTACGATACCTTGGAGTCGGTTTGGAACGCGTATTTGAGGCCAATGATGAACGGATGGCTGACCTAAGAGCGCGCGACACATGACAATATTGTACATCGACGACGACAAAGTACTTTGGTCATGATCTCGCGCTCCGATTTCATGTACTCGACGCTGTTCATTTCGACAAGAAACTGCTTGCTAATGATCTAGAGCCAGCATCAGCCCTGCATTCTTGTCCGAGTAGCAGCCCGCACGCACCTTCATCGCATGCATCTGGCGCGTCGCCTTGTGTCGCACCAAGAGCACCTACACCACCATGTCAACCATCGTCCTGCATGTTACTGTGGTTCAAGCACCTTCCCAAACGCGCCCTTGCCAATGACGCTAAGAAACTCGAAATCATCGATCGTCGTGCCCGACGTCTTCCTGCCACGCACATGGTCACCACGTCCTCTCAATCCGTCAGCGATCGTACTTGGGCGCGGCGCTCGGCGGCGTCATGGGCGGTTCGGACTCGGCTTCGGCACACGGGCTCAGCACCGTGCGGCCGCCCTTGACGCACTCCTTGCACGTCGCCCGCGCCTTGACCTTCTCGAGCGCATGGAACCTGCGCATGCCATGGCCATCATCCTCGCGCATGCGTCGCCCTACTTGTTGAAGCCCTTGGTCGTGAGGCACTGGCAGCAGAAGGGCATCGGATCGTCCTCGCCGCAGAGTTGGGATTGCCACGATGGCCGCTTCTTGTCACAGGCATCCGGATACGGCGCGCATCCGGATAAGCCCGAATCTATTTTTAGCGCGACATGGCGCGCGTCCGGCAGCATGCCACCCGGAGCAACGCGTGGACATGCAGATCGAGCGCGCTAGGTAGACGCTGTAGATGGGCGCGGCTTCCTCTATGCCCCGGGTTACGGCGCCTGCCACTTTACGCCCGCGTAACACGTAAGCTGGGACCGGCGGCCAGAAAAGCGACCTTGCAGAAGCACGCTGGCTATAAGTCTGGTTGTTGCACTTTCTTTGCCTCAGCACCCCAATTCCCGCGCGCGTTACGAGAGTGGACTCATGCTTATGTAATTGGGCAGCACGAGGTTGTCTTTGGTACCCACCTAGACGCGACCGCTGGTGCGCCGGACACCGCTGCCGTTGGCTTCGCTGTCGTCCTTGCCCTTGGCAGCGTTGCTCGGGCCGCGCGGGTTGTTGGTTCGCGTGGAAGACCGCCGCGCGACAGCAGCCTTCTCTTCTTTTGCCGCCTCGTCCTTCTTGCCGCGCTTGGGTGCTGCCTGCATCGACTTGTCTTAAATCGGCAAAGCAATCTCATCTGTACCTTCTCCGAGGCCGGCTCGGGCTTGGTGAGCTTCCCGGACCGCGTTGTTCGGCGCGGTACGACCTCGCTGCCATTGGATTCGTTCTCGTTGTCGTCGTCATGGTCGCTTTCTTCCTTGGTGCTGCTGCTCGAGGGCAGTGTCTCAGCAGGCGACTCGTCGCTACCGGCCTTGATCGGCGACGACGGCCCCGTCGACTCGCTGAGACTGTCGCGGCGCTCCCGCTTCTTACTGCCGTTGATTTTCTTGGACGCCTTGTCTTTCGAGGCTTCGCGCTCCTTCTCCAACTAGAATGCAAGATGCTAAGCGCTTGACGACATGTTGTCGAAAAACTACCTGCGACACGAGCTTGTTGATGGACTCGAGCTGGACGCTCACATGGTGCTGCGCATCCTTCTTTTGGACTAGATACAGACAAGTCGCATCTATCGCATGTGACGCGGCTGGCGATAGAGTACTACCTTCCGACTGGCGCAATTGAAACTTGAGCCGCTCAATCTCGCCCTTCATCTTCATCATCTCGAGACGGTCGTTCTCCCACTCGACGAGGTCCGAGGGCAAACTGGCGCCGAGCCACTGCATGTTGGCAGCGTCACCGTTGGGCGCGGCCGCCACGGCAAAGCCCGGCAGCTCCCTACATAGAGAAGTATAGCGTTCACACGAAGCAAAGGCGGTGTCGCACCCGAGGGGGCTAATGAGCAGTGGCATCTCGTACGGCGTGCCCTGCAAGCGCGAGCCCTTGAACGGAATCAACGTCGTCTTGCGCTTGGTCGTCGTCGTGGCCGATGTCTTGGCGCGCTTCTTTGGCGGGTCCGCATCGTCTTCGGGCTTGCTCGACTTGGCGTCGTCGTTGTCGTCGTCGTCGTCCTCTTCGTCGTCGTCCATGTCGTCATCGTCGTCCAGTGTCCCCTTCTCGACGAGCTCCTTGAAGGCGGCTTCAGCGCTTATCCACTCGCTCGCCTTCTCAAAGTACTTAGCTTTGAGCGCCGTTTCATCCGGTGTGAACGACAGCTCGTCGACCTCGGCAGGCTCGACGTCGTTCATCGCCATCTCGACTTGCTTCTCGTCGCGGAGGTCGACAGTGACCTGCTTGGCGTTCTCGTCCATGGCCACAATGACGCCCTGTCGGAGGAAGGTAGTATGAGATACGACAGTGTTCGAACTGAGCGGCCATACCACTTCTTTGGTCGGCGTGCACAGCACGAGGTCGCCGATTCCGAGGGGCGTTGGCCCCGTTGTCGTCTTGGGATGCGCAGCGTCAATCTTATGGTGGCGCAGCACCGCGTGGAGCCGACTCACTTGGTGTTGGAGCTTGAAGAGCAAGTCGCCTCGTGCGTCGAGCTCGGTCAAAATGTCTTGCATCGCCGTGTTGCGACGCTTGGACGAGAGCAAGCGCGATGCTGCTTGCGCCGTCTTCTTTCGGATGCGCAGCATGACGCGCTCCTGGTCCTTCTCTTCCTTCATCATGAGCTCGATCTCGTGGATAAACGTCGTGCGCAAGCGAAGGTAGTTGTCTTCGAGCTCGAGGCGCTCGCGCTTGAGCGCCATGAGCTCGGCTTGCGTGAGGCGCACGGCCCGCCGGCAGATCGGCAGCGTTTCGATGATCTCTTCGGCGCTCATGACTTCGCGCCCACGGCTGCGCTTCTTGGTCGGCATGGCTTTGTTTAAATACAAGTTGGCGAGGTGCTGCTGCCGGCGTCGCTGCAACGAGCCCGCGTCCTCGGCCTCATCTGGCGCCGCCGGATCGATTTCGGGCTGCTTCGTCGGGTCCTTCCACGCGTCGCACGAGCTACGGTACTCGTCGAGGAGATGCTCGACCTCCTTGACGTCCTTCCGCACCTCGCTCTTGTTCAAGGAGGCGACGCCTACGTCGGCGCCATGAGCTCTCGTGCGCCAGGAAGGTCCATGCGACGGCGTCTACCTGGGATGTGCTCCAGCGTCCGCGACCAGATCTCGTCGTCCATGCTCGTCGCCCCGACTGACCCCACACACAAAAGTTTTTTAACGCGAGCGATGCCAAGTCGCACTAAGTGCGACCGGATTACGTACGGGTTCTATTTTTGGCCGCTGCGATTGGCTCATTTTTCCGACCGGCACGAAAAAATCGACACGGCGTCATAGAAATGTCAAGTCATTTTTATAAAATATCCCACTCTACGAGGCACGTAATCTGATTGGATCGAGATTTGGCCAATCCGGCGACGCGGGCGTGGCGCGCGTCCCGCAGCACGCCGCAGCATCAGTAGTAGTGCTGGGGTGGGAACGCCTCCATAAGGCAACGTGGGCCGCTATTCGAAGGCGACGAGGGTCAAAATTCGCATGCTGCTGGTGGTTCACAGAAGCTAACACAGGGAGTTCCTGCATCGACCAACGAACGTCTCACACTCGGTCTCAAGCACGCGGTGCGTCCAAGGCGCCGTTTAGTATATTAGTACGGCGCGTATCGACTAATTACTCTTCGCGCTTAGCCCGCGAGCATGATGAGCGCATGGCGAAGCCGTCAATGAACGACAAATGGCTGGCGCAATTGAAGCCAACCTCCCAGGATCCAACCATCCGCCTTTCTACGCCGTTTCCAGCAGTTTTGAAATCTCCCGATTCGATCGATCGCCTGGCGGCGAGTGCTCAACATACGTTTACAAGGCTCAAGTCGTCGTCGTCGTCCACACATGCCTTGCGCGATCCACTGCGTCGCGTCCGCAATCGGTTCTTAGTGCCGGCATATTCTATGCGACACGCCGTTGCCCAGATGTGTGCAATCGTCTGTTTGAGGCGCAGTGACCCGATCTGCGCTCAGAGAATAATGCTAGAGCAATTGTGGCACGACGGAACTAGGACTGGCCAAGCGCCGTAGAACTCGTGCACGCACTCGGTACACTGCGATCCAATCACCCACACAAATACCCCAGTTCATTGCATGATCGACTCGGATTAGAATCGTTATGGCTTGGCCTTGGCCTTGGTCGCCTTTGTCGACTTGCGGTCGGTGGATTTGGCCGCCAGCTTCTCGTCGAGGGCCTTTTGCAGCAGCTTGCGCTTCTCTTTGGCTTGGTACGAGTTGCTCTTGACGGCCGACGACGCTGTCTTATGCCGCGCTTGTTCGAACGCGCGCACGGCCGGTCCGCAGCCGTGCACTTCGGGAAGGCCGTGCGAGTAGCAAAATTTCAAGTGGCAGAATTTGCACACGCTGCCCATGAGCGTAATGCGCTGCGCGCACGAGGCTACGCCGCAGACGGTCGCTTGCGTCGCGACGCGATCGAGAAACGCCATGTCGTCTTCGTCCGGCGCCTTGTCTGCGATCGGCGCCACTGGGATGCTCGCTGGAGCCTTCTTTTGTTTCCCTTTCTTCTTCTTGGCAGACGATGCTGCACTCGGCACCGCCAGCGCCTTTTGCCGCGCCACACGTTCCTTATGGAGGTCTCTGAGCAGGCTGTTCGTAGCCGCTGGCTTTGCCTCGTCGTCGCCAAGATGATCGGGCTCGCTGTCGCTGGACGAGTCATCGACGAGTGCTCCAAACGCGCTCGCTGTCGATGTTGGCGGCGGCTCGTCCTCCGACTCGTCGTCTTCAGTCACCGGTACATGCCCCGGGGCGTTGATGGGCGCTGGTGGAGGTGTCGCTACGGGTACGGACGGCGTCGGCACCGATGTTGGGGGGCTTGGCACCGACGTTGGGGGGCTTGGCACCGACGTTGGGGGTGTCGGCGGTCCTTGTGTGGGGAGAGCACTCTTCTTGACGTGTGCCAGCTTTGTCGTCGGCTTCGCCTTGGGTGTTTTCGCCTACCCGTATGCACGTCGTCCATGCTCGGGATGCGGCGCAGTGTACCTCGTTGGCGTCTTTCTGCAGCTCGGAGAGCAGCGCGTTCGAATCAAACATGTTGGCAGTCGTCTCGTCCCGCGTCGCGCTCAAGTACTCTTCCGCGCTGCGGTACTCGCCGTGCGCTTCGAAATGCTCGACCTAATAGTCCAATCGATGCATCTCTCAGTGGCCTCATGCGGGTAGATTGATGTACCAGTGCGTGTAAAAACGGGTGCTTTCCGATCGTGTCCGTGTCACAAACCAGCGCCACGTGTCGCTTCGCGCGCGTGATCGCGACGTTCATCCGACGGTCGTCGGCCAAGAACCCGACTGTTTTTTTGGATTGCTGCGCACCAAGCTCATGACGACGGCTTCTTTCTCACAGCCTTGGAAGCCGTCGACGGACCGGATCTCGAGACGCGGAAGCGACGGCAAGAGCAAACGCTTGAGTAGCTGCACCTGTGCGTTGTATGGCGTGATGACCGCGATCTCATCCGGGCGCAATCCGATACTCAAGAGCGCACGGACGTGCGCGACGACGATGGTGGCTTCGCCTGCGTTCGATTTCGAGACGCGCAGCGCTTCGTGCCTACAACCGCGTATGAGTTGACGCAGTCGAAACGGCGTCAAGTACGTGGGCGCCTCGTCTTGGTCTTCGTCGAGGCCGCAGCCCGCCGTGTCGAGCAAAAGCAGCGTCGGCGCGGTGAGCTCGGTCGTGTGCGTCACATGCGCCAGGTCGCCAAGCAAGCGCGTCGCCACCGCGTCGCTGCTGGCGAGCTTGCCGTCGTACATGGCATGAGACGACCAGTCGGAGATGGCTGCGTGCATGCGGTACTGCGTTGAGAGCATCTTGACGACGCCCTTGGTTGTCTCCATGCGCGTGATGCGGTCGAAGAGCGTCATGTGCGCCCGCGCCGCCACGTCCGACTTGATGGTCGGCGGCAGCTGCAAATGGTCGCCCGCGAGCACACAGCGTTTGCCCATGAGCAGCGGGATCCAGCAGCTCGCTTCGAGGGCTTGCGCCGCTTCGTCAATGATGACGACATCAAACACGAGGTTGGCGAGGAGCTTGGTCGCAGCGCCCGCATTGGTAGCAAAGAGCACGTCACTGTGTTCGACGATCTAAGGCCACGTGGCTTTGAACCCAAGGTCAAAGCATCCAGGGAGAGCTGTACCTCACGCACGACTTGGTCGCGGATCTCCTTTCGGAGCAGTTGGCACTCTCTGCGCATCTCGTAGACGCCCGACGACTTGGCGCGCTGCTTGCGGGCTTTCGCCATCTTGGTCTGGAGCGCGCCCATTTCCTTGCGGATGTCGGCGATGATGGCCGTGCCGTCGGCCGAGGCAATGCGCGCGTCGAGGCAGTACTGCAGCACTTGCGGCAATAGTCGTGCTGGGTGGCCGATGCGCGTGACGCGAAACGTGGGCTTGGTCGCCGCGACCTTCTCGAGGACGTTGTCGACCGCGATGTTGGACGGCGCGCAGACGAGGATCTTCATCTTGTGCTTGGTCACGCACTGCGTGATGAGCTCGACGACCGTCGTCGTCTTGCCCGTGCCCGGCGGTCCGTGGATGAGCGCAATGTCCTTGGACGCGAGCGCATACTCGATCGCAGCGATCTGTGACGCGTTCATCGGGCGCGACGGCGTCAAGGGCGAGATCGGGTTGGTCTGCGGCTCGACGCCGTGAAAGATGCTATACAAGGCGGATGTGAAAAGTCGGCAGTCACCGAGGAAGAGGTCGCACACGTTGAGGATGTTCATGGCCGGGCCGTCGTTGTACTTGGCGAGCCGGTCAATGCCCTCGTGCAGCTTGCGGTACGTGGCGTCGTTCACGAGCCGATCGAGCCTACCCGTGGATGAGCCGCCTCGATCGATGGCTGCATATATTCGTGTACCGAAGCGCTTGGTTGTGGTACTCATCCGAGTTGTCGAGGTCCTCGAACGCAAGCGAAATCGCGTGCTCCTCGACCTTGGTGACGATACCTCGCGGGAAGCCGTTCGCATCCGCAGGCGTGAGCGACGCCGTCGGAACGCTTAGCTGCACGAGGTCGCCAATGCCAAAGTGGTGCGCCGGCAGCTCGCGGTTCTGGCCTTGCGTGAGCAGCAGAACTGTCCGGCCAAAGAGCCCGGTTGTCGCCGACGCCAAGCGCAGATGGAGGAGGACGTTCGGGTTCAGGCTTGCGGGCAGCGTATCGTTCTCGAGCTTGGACTGCGCGATCTCCGCGTCGCGCTCTTGCTGTAGCATCAGGCGCGTCGCGTCGAGCCACCGCTCGAGGGTCATGGTCGGGCGCATCGTCGCTTTGCGGTGGCGATTGGCTTCGAACTACGATGCAAACTTCGATCGAAGCAGCTCATCCAAGCGCTCTCGTTCCACACTATTCTTGCCATCTCGATGGAAGCAATGCCGGTGGCTTCGCGCTGCTTCCGCCTGCGCGTTCTCATGTGTCCACATACACTGCCTAGTACGCCGACGGCGCTCTGTAATTAAGTGTGCTATTTGCTCTAATACTTATTTCTACATATATATACTTTGACCATGTCTGCGATTGGATAACGCGGTTTTACTCACCGGGAACTACGATGGTAACACGGCCGAAAAGTTTTCGACGTGAGTTCAATTACCACCAAAACGGGGTTTTTTGCGTTCATTACATTGAGTAATATTTATGCTGTGTTGCTACTACGCCTGTGGCTCCTCTGTAAACAGAGGAAGCGCCTTACGGTGCTGAACGAAGCGTAGTGGGTCGTGCTCAAGATGAGTCTAGCCGAGTCGTTTGCACGTCGTCTTGCGCGCGTAGCTGTTTGTAGTGTGATGTGGTTCACGGGATCTTAGAGCCCGATCTGGCCAAGGCATTGGCGTAGGCTGGAAGCAGGGCTGCCATTTTCGCGTGGCATGGGATGGGAACATTGCCAGCTACGACTACCTTGGTTCCTTGGGCGTCGGAGGCATGTCTCGTTACCGTCCGTTCTTTCTCGAATGTCGGATCCTCGAAACGGCGCCGATGGACGACGCTCCAGCCGACGTGGCACGGACAGCGCGCGATGCTGTTGCGATGATGGCGCTGGACGCGGTCGCGGCTCGGCGCGTGCACCAGTGTCATGAGACCGATGACGCGATGTGGGCGACCAAGTTGCAGAGCGCGTGGCGACGACACGCCGCCAAGAAGGTGTACGTGGACCTCTTATGGGCGCAGTACCAAGCCGAGGAGGCACAGCGCCAAGCAGTGATCCGCCAGCACGTGGCCGACGCGGCGCGACTGCTTGAGAGGTACGAGCGTCGTTCGCTTCGCGCACAACACGAGCCGTTGACTCTGCGTGCTAGCCTGGACCTCCAAGAGCAGCTTGCCAATGCGCAGTACTTGGCCAAACTGCGGCAAAACCACCTCCACCGGTACGACCCGTCGTGGTGCGCTGTCTGCAGCGCTCGAGATAGGGTCGCTTATTCGATCCAGCGCACGTATCGCGCCCACGCACGGCGCAAGCCAATGCAGCGGGCAGCCACCGTACCCGCGAATCTCGGTCGCTGAGCCCGATGCTGCACCGAGCAGCTGCAGCCGACCAAGGCTGTGGAAACCTGTTCGATCGAGGTGGTCTTGTAGCCGCAAGAAATGCATGAGTGTGATGTGTACGCTTCCAGTACAGCCCAGCGTTTTGCATGTCATGCATCTTGGATCCCGGGGCATGGTGGCACCCAAGGGAATTCCCTTGGGAGCACCTGCCTCGGTTGCTGCCGCCTCGCGAGCCTCGCACTCGTCCGGTCTCCTTCACGATGGACGACGGCGGCAACGGAGCAGGATCGGCATCGTCGTTCACCGGGAAGAAGATCTGGCGGCTCGACTGGCTCACCGCCGGTCGCCCAACCTGCTGCTGCTGCAGAACTGTCGTCGGGTTGCTGGCCTCGCATTACTGCGTCGCTACACTCGTCCTCGCTGACGTCACCGTGTCGAGTCTTGTGCGATCGGCCACATCGCTGGCGCTACGTATACAGCCCTGGCCTTGTGCCCCACGCACCCCGTCGCGATGGGTGCCACTCTAGGATGTGCTCGTGTGGTTTTCGTGTGTGTTTTGTATTGTCCACGCGTGCGACACCAATTTTATTCTCTGTTTGTATGCTGGTGTTTTACACGTGCGAAACAACGCGGTTTTTGCCATGTGGCAATTGGCACTTCAAGTTGCCAAAGATCGCGAATCGAATCTTGGATTACGTGGACAAAACGCACAAGTCACTTTGCTTAAAGTACGTCATTTGCCATTTTTCCCGTTAAACCAACGTCACGTCTATGCATGGTCGCCGCCGCATCCACGCCTGAAGCGTCGTGAGCTGCCACGTGCCGTCGACCCACACGTTGGCGCTCTTCTTGGAGAGCGCGAGGCGGCGGAGCTTCGCCGCGAGGTTGAAGACGACGAAGAGCCCGGACTCGGAGAGTGGCACGTTGACCAGCGACAGCGCTTCGATGGTGTGGATCGCGCGCAGGACCAGCGCCAGCTGCACCTCAATGTCGTGGACGTCCCAGCCCGTGAGATCGAGCTCCGTGATCGCGAGCTTGGTTTGGATGATCTCGTTGGCGGTCAACCGGCGGCACCACGCGCACCGAAGCACCCGCAGCGACGGCAAGGCAAATCCGAGCGTGCGCAGCTTTGAACAGCCCGCGAGATCGAGCTCTTGAAGCGAGACGCACGACCTCAAGGCCGCGACCGACGTGAGCTCCGTGCAGTACGCGAGCGAGAGCGATGTCAGCGCACCAAGGAGCGGCGCCATGGTTGCCAAGAAGGCGTCCGTCACCAAGCGGTGGCTCGCACGAAACGAGAGCCGCGCCAGGCCTTTCGCGTGGCAAAGGAAGAAGGCGACGCGCGCCGCGTCGCGTGGCGTGCAGCTCTGGAACACCACGTCCGTCAGTCCCGCGGCGTAGGCGAGCACCGTCGCACGGAGCCCGCGGCTCACAAGCGCCACGTGCAAGGCGTCGGCGGTCGGCCCGAGCGACGTGAGCACGACAAGGCCCACATCCCGGGGCAAGGCGGCCAACATGGTTTTGGAGTCGGCGCTGCTTTGGCCAGGCGCCTCTTCGGCCTCGCACCAATCGTAGCCCTCGGACGCAAGATCGCCTGCACCCGTGCCCGCGATTGGCCTGCCGTTGGCCAATGAGTCGCCTCGGACTCAGAGAGCACCAACACGGTTGCTTGCTTGCTACTACTTCTTGTCCTCCTCCGCTTGCGCAATGCACTTCTGGAGCAATGGCGATGGAGCAATGACAGCTAGCGACAGCTTGGAGCTACGGCTTGTTGTGTGTTGACCAACGTTGTCCTGGCAGGGTATAACAGGCGCCGCAGCCGACTCAGCTCGGCTGGACCGCTACCATTGAAGGCGGCGGCCGAGGTCGGACGTTCCTCGTCAGGTCAAAATACCGTACCGCTGACGACCGAAAGGCTGTTTCGAAAGAACCCATTACAGCTGGCGCCGTCGTATACACCCGCATCGGAAGGAAGATGTGGCGCGATTTCCGAGCCCCAGGCCGCACGGAAGCGCTGGTTCTCGTGGCGAGGGCCTTTGGCGGGCGCGACGCCGCCGATTCCGCGCCGTTCGCACCCGGAGGACGTCCGCAGACCTCGGCGGACCTTGCCCAAGTGACTCATCGGTCGCGTGGCGACGCCTGGCGCTGCAACCTCGGTCTCCGGGTCGCCCAAGCCGCCGAATCGGGGCCGATTCGGAGCTCCGGACGCGGGGCGCCACCGGCATTCTCGAGCTCTGGGCTGAAAATGCATATTTTGCCTTTGGGGGCTCGGCTGCACGCGCTTTCATTGGCTAAAATACCGCTGGCCCCACGCATGTCGCAGCTGCGGCTCGACCCAGATATTGCTGGCTCTGCGGGCGCGCTCCGAGATGGCCGCGGGGCGCCCGGGCGGCCCGACCCTTGTATCGGCGCTAGGGCGCCTTTGGGACGCGGCGCCCCGGGGTAATCCCCACAATGGCGATCGGCTAGCAATTGCAGCGCGGTTGCAAGTCGGTAGCGGCGCTGGAAGCCGCGGATTCGGTCGTCGGCGTCGGGCGGCCAGCCATTTGAGCGACGCCACCTGCTGCGCCGCATGGGCGGGCCCAGAACAAGACGGGCGGCACGAGCACGGGCGTGTTTGGCCGGCGCTGATTGGCGCTCCCGGCGCCTCCGAGTGGCGACGCGGCGTCGTCATCGGTCTTGGCAATTGTATGCCACGCCAGCAGCTGGGGCGATTGCCGTTTTGTGACTGGCGGAACCGTTGTGAATATCGAGTTGAACCGAGAGTGGCGGCGTGGCAGCAGCTGGCGCCGTGTCTCACGCTCGGCTTCTTCGGCGGGGCGCCCTTCGAATTGCGATCGAAAATGGCCATCGGAGCTCATTTACGATCTTGACAAGCACGATGCACTGTTCGCCGATGACCAAGCCGACCAACTCGCCCGTCGCCGTCGAGGCCTTCGACGTCGACATCCTCTACGACGAGTACCTGAGCCCCGACACGGCGGTGGACTTTGACTTTGACTTTGACTTTATCGCGCCGGTCGCCAAGCCGGTCGCCAAGCCGACGACGTCGGCGCTGCTCACGAACCCGGCGACCGCGCTCTTGCTGCAGAAGCCGATCAAGTCGCTGACACGCGAAGAGAAGATTGCGCGCCGCCGCGCGCAGATCGCCAAGTCGGCGCAGAAGCACCGCCTCCGCATCCGCGAGGAGATGGAGTCGCTCCAGGACGAACTCGTCGCGCTGGAAGCCAAGCTCGCGGCGCACCAGGCGTCGGACGCGACGACGTGGAAGACCAAGGCCGCGAACGCGCTCGAGATGCGCCAGGTATCCGAAGCCATGAACGCGTCGCTGCGGCAGTCGCTCAGCGAAACCACGCTGTGCGTCCACCACTGGACGACCTTTATGCCCAACGTCCACGCGGTCGTGGGCCAGGACGCGACCCTCCAGCACCTTGTCTAGCTCGCCTCCCGCCTCCCGCTGCTACCGACGACGACAAAAGGTCCATCGGCAGCACGCTCCGTGTAGTCTCTGTCCATGATCATATTTATTACCTCTCTTTACCCCACGACGACGAGACTCCATCATGAGGCGGCAGTGAAAAAGGGATCATCAGGGCGCGGCCGGGTATGAGCTGCGCCCGACCGACCCACCGCGATCAAGCCAAGCTCACGAGAACGAGAACCAGTACGAGAACCAGAACCAGTACGAGCACGAGAATGCCTGCCTACACTTGGCGCCTAATGCGCCGCTAATGCACGCTGTCTATCGTAGCGGGTCATGACACTTGTCATGGCCCGCGTCCGTGTCTTGTGTGTTGCATCCTGCATGCGCTGGCTGACGAGAGAATGAGCTTTGGAAATGGCACCTTTAGCCTAATTGACGCCAACGAAGGGCGGTCGGGAAGGACAGTGAACAAGAAGGGCTATGGACGATGGTTGCATGGGGCAACTTGGTATGAGACTCCTTTGGGCGTACTACGCGATGAGGATCCTTCTTCGTAGCAAGAGTGCGGTGCCCGACGCCGTGCACGCGCAAGTCGGTGCCTCCTGGGCGCTCGCACGTCTCTCGTCTCCGAAAGATACCTGATACGGTCCGAACGATAGCTGTAGATCGATCATCGACCACCGTCGTCGCAGGCGACAAGATTCATTCCATCATCATCATTATCATCATGTATACACTGGATTATGCCTATGCCGACTCGAGCAGCAACTCTTGGCGACGTGCTTGGCCAGCGTATGGGCCAAGGGCGAAGAAGGTGTCGAGGTCCGTGCGTTGCTGCTTGCCTACGCCGTCGTAGCTCAGCGTAACCGGTTAGCAGCGAGGTGTTTTACCAAGAAGCGTCTTGTGCGGCGACGCGAGGATGCCGTCGACAAGCGCAAACTTCCACTCGCGCGTCGTCTTGGTCGGCTCCGTCGACCGGTCCAAGAGGTACTCGACGAACCCGCCGTACGCCAGGAGCGTCTGCAGGCCCCACGGGTGTCCTACCGATATCGTTCTAGTCGATGCATGCGTCATCGATCCCATACCTTGGGCAACCACGGCTTGGAGAAGGGTGTACACAGCGATCCGAATCGTATCGAACGGCTGGCGGAGGCAGTCCATCAGAAGGTGCATCGTCGAGGGCCGGCCGCCACCGAGGGCGCGGAAGAGCGACTGGTGCAAGATCCAAATCGGGGCTGTCTCGTCCGGCACGACACGTGTCGTCTTGGAAAGGGTCGTCGGGCGCGCGAGGATCGTTGCCAGCGCCATAAAGCAGTTGGACTTGACCTCGAGGACGGTCGAGTGTGCTGTCTCGAGAAAGAGCGTGACCAGCGTCTTGTGCTGCAGCAACAGCCCGAGCTCTGCACCGAATTGATACATTGATACAGTGACACAATGCCTACCGTTCTCGGAGGCGGACGCAAAGGCGGCGGCGGCGTCCATGGCCGCAATCTTCTGGAGCGCGTCACCGACCTGGAACGAGTACTCGATGGCTGCGAGAAAGGACTTGGAGAGCGACGCGTCGGCCCAGTTCCACGACGGCACGCCGACCGCAGCGGCTTTGGTTGAAAATTGCCCAATCAGGCGGAGCGCGGCGCCACCAATGAGCGGGTCTACGCACCGGCGTCCGTCCAACGACCCACGATAAAGAGAGGTAGGTATTCACCTTGGACGGTGCGGATCAAATGCGTCAAGACATCTACCGCAGTGTAAATAAGATCTGTAGTAGCACTCGCGTACCTGACTGGAAGACGAGCAGGAGGCCGGCCTTGGTGTTGCAGAGAACGGGAATGATATCAAGGATATTGAGCTGGAAGAGCGAGTCCTTGGACTGGATGCCTTCCAGAATCTAGAGCAGAGTGTGAGTAGATGAGCAATTATGGATGGCGACCGGCTGGAGGAGACCGCGGCCAAAGCTTTCTTGCATGACGTCGTCGTCGACGCTCGCGAGCTTGGCGATCGTCTCGAGCAAGCGAACGTACTCGACCGAGTTGTCGCGCGAGAGCCTATCGCAGTTGACATGACCACTCTGTTGCGCTCGATGGGGGTGTCTACGTCGGCAAGTGCTCTTGGAGCAGCGCCGAGAGGAGGCGAAGGATCGCATGGTAGATGCCCGTCGCCGGCACCGACACGAGCTACAAGAGGCTTTAGTCGACAAGGTAGTTTGTCGTGTTACCTTGAACAAGAGGTCGGACGCCTTGCGTGCAACGCCCGGATCGTCGTCGAGAATGCAGTTGCAGATGGCGTGCAGCAACGCCTCGTCGCTCTACGCACAACGAGTGAGCGGCGAGGTAGACACGGTGCGCCTACCACGCGGTCATGGAACTGCGGCAAAAGCTGGTGGTCGAGCATGTTCAGCGTCAACTTGCGGGCCGAAAGCTCCATGTGCCCGACGCCGGCCAGCAAGAAGGGCCGCATTTCCTCTTGGAAGAGAATGTCGGCGCCGAGGGGCGAGCGAAAGATGCGCTCGAGGCATTGGCACACGAGCTTGACCTACGCTCGCAGCGTCACGATGCCATGCTCGGCGAGGATGAACGAGCGGACCTGCTTCGTCTCGCCCGCGTCGCTAGCGGCCTGGAGGCACTGGAAGATGGCCGGGATCGGGACTTGCGCAATGAAGTCGCGCACGAGCTCGCGCTCGAGGGCGCTGTCGCGGTTCCCGGCGGTGGCCACCGACCGCGCCTGGAAGGTGCTAAGGGCAGTCCACGCTTCGTCCATCTTCTCGAAAATGAAATCCTTCGGCCAGTTGCATTCGGCACCGCCACGCAGCTACGCTTGTTTTCGGCACGGTTATGCCACAAATACCGGTTGAGTATGTGGCAGATGCCGCATAGAATTTCGGTGGCAGCTTCAATCGGAGCGTTTTGGATTTCCGTGGTCAGACCAACAGCGATGGCGAAGCGGAAGCGATCGATGAAGGACGCGCCGGCGCCGGCGCCGAAGAAGGGCAAAGGCAAGGCTGCAGTGAAGCCTGCGCCCAAGCCGGCGGCGAACGACAGTGAAGACGACGAGGTCGAGATGGACTTTGAAGAGCTCGTGGCAGCCGGTGCTGCGTTGCAGAAGCTCGGCGCCGTCGACGCGGCCGCCGAGACCTTCGCAAAGGCGCTCGCGATGCAACCGGAAGACGTCGACGTCATGAGCTCGCTGGCGCATGCGTACGAAGCCTGCGACGAGAAGACCAAGGCCATTGCACTCCACGAAAAGGTCGTCACCAGAGTCCCGACCAACGCACCCACGTGGTTTGCGCTCGGCGCACTGTACCAGGACGTCGAGAAGCTCGAGAAGGCGATTAGCGCATTCCGCAAGGTCATTGCCCTCGATGATGCCAACGCGTCTGTGGCCTTTGCAGCGCTTGCCAACTGCTACGGCGAGCAAGGCGACATTGACGGCGCCGTCGGCGTCTTCGAGTCGGCCGTCGCCAAGGACCCGAGCAACGCCAAGTACCAGTACAACCTGGCCACGATGCTTGTGGCGCGCGGGACCAAGGCCGACCAGAAGAAGGCGATAACTGCGTACGAGGCAGCACTGGCGCTCGAGACGAACCGCCAGCGCGATATTTACGACGACCTGGCCGCTCTCTACGACAGCATGGGCGACAAGGCCAAGGCGGCGCATGCGCGGGAGATGATGGCCAAGTGCCCCGAGCCCAAGGACGAAGACGAGGAAGATGATGCGAACGATGATGATGATGATGACGACGACGACGACGACGACGACGATGAGGATAAAGACGAGAATGACGAATCGAGTTAGGATAAGAGCGGAATGTGAAATTGCTTGTTGCCAATCGTGACGGCGACAGCGTCACAGTCGACGAGCACCATCGGTGGCGGGGCCATCTCCATCTCCACCTTGGCATCGACCGAGGGTACGATCGGTGTTGAGGCGACGCTGACGTGCGGTATTGGGTCCTACATTATGTTAACGCGCTGGAAATGGAGCGACGACACCGTACGCTGTAGTAGGGTGCGAGGTCGAACTGGCGCATGCAGCGATCGACGCACGCAATGATGTGGCATATCTACTTCGAGTCTTTAAGCCTCTACCGATGCATGGTCTCGACGCGTACTACTACCTCGAGCTTGCCGCGGACCACGGGCGTCGCTGCAAACAGGCGCGTCTTCTCGTCGTTGATGAGGATGCGATGGCCTTGGAGCCCAATGCGCTGCCTACAGGCTCCTGCTTGAGACTGCGTTCGACGACGTCGTCGCATGGAGACCGCTTGCGGTACTTGAGCGCGATGCGCAAAGCCTGAACGAACGGCTCGATTTGCTCGTAGCGCAGCACAAACGTGCGCGAGAGGCTCAAGTGCAGCGAACTCGGATCCTCATCGCCATCGCTGTCCTTTGGTAGCACCTTGGACCGTTTTTCGTCGAGTGGCACGAGCCCGAGAGCATGCTTGGGGTATGCAGCGTCCGTCATGGTCATGGCGAAGGTCTTCATGGCTTCCATGGCCGGCGTCAGAGGCACTACACGTGCATCGATGCGGTCGTCCTACCTCTTGTAGTAGCAGCGTGTCTATATACCGGCAAAGTAGACATACGACGGCCAGTTGCCATCCACGTGCGCAAACGTCCGTGTCCATGCGATCGGCGGTGCCACGCGCTGCCGCTTCGCTGGCGCCTCGTCCTCGTCCGACGACGACGACTCGCTGTACGCGACCAGTGCCATTTTCCGGCGTATCCGGACAATCGGATCTTAGCCCGGATAAGAACGGATCCCAACAGCAGCAAGTACCCTCGACAGTCGCCTTCTCTGGTACGCACACACATGCAGCACGACGCTTCAAAGGCGTCGCACTGGCCGATAGCGTGCAACCGATCGCGTTGAAGTAGCGACGCGTGGACGGTCGAGATTGCACTTGCATTTTGGCGCCAAAGCCACGCATCTGGCCCTCTACGGTACCTACTTCGTCATGTATCTCTGGCGCATCCTCGCTCGGACAGTCGCCGCGTAGTCGTCGTTGCTGCCATGCTGGAATCGGCAGCGACGTCCTTCTCATGCATGTGCTTCTTCAATCCATCGTCGTCGCCCCACTTGGCCATCGTGTTGGTAATGCGGCGGATGCCGAATTGGCATGCCTAATTCAGGACAAGTCCTAAAAAAGTGACTGACTGCGTCGTGTCAAGTAGGAAAAAAGAAACCAAAACGCCCCGGAATCCCATACTAGAATCCCTACAAAACCAAACAGCCGGGGAGCATGGGTACGTGGCCATGGGCCGCCATGGAGGAGGACGACGGCTCATGCACATGTAGGGGACGAACTCTACCCGATCAACCTCTTGACCGAGGAGATGCGCACGGATGAGACCGAGACGCGGATCCGCAGCATGCGCCGGCTCCGCACGGTCGCGCAGGCGCTGGGCCCGGACCGCACGCGCTCCGAGCTGCTTCCGTTCCTGTCCCGTACGGCGACAAGCACCAAGCGGGCGCGATCACGACGCTTCTTGTAGAGTCGACGGACGATGAAGACGAAGTCCTTGTTGCGATGGCCGAAGAGCTCGGCGAATTCGTCGACTTGGTCGGTGGCCCCAGCAGCGCGTCGGTGCTGCTTGGCCCGCTCGAGGTGCTGGCGACCGTCGAAGAGACGGTTGTCCGCGACAAGGTACGAGTCGCCCACGCGCGCGCCTGGCATCTCACGCTCGCATGCATGGCAGGCGGTCGCGTCGATCCAAAAGGTCCTCGAAGTGGTCACGGACGCCGGGGAGCTCGCCTTGCCGCTCGTCAAGCGCTTGACCGAAGGTGACTGGTTCACGTCGCGCGTGTCGGCCTGCTGGCTCTTCCCCGTGCGTACACCAAGGTGGACGCTGGGAGCAAGAAGGAGCTCCGCGAGTACGTTTTTTCTTGCATCGTCTTTCGCTGGTCTAAGCACGTATGTAGCCTCTACACGACGCTCTGCGGCGACGACACGCCCATGGTCCGCCGAGCGGCTGCGTTGAACATTGGTGTACGCGCGTCCTCGACGATGGTCGAGTCGGTGGTCATGGTGGCGCGTAGAAATTTGGCGCCAAGATGGAGAAGGATATCTTTGTGAGCACGATCCTACCGCTCTTCAAGGTCCTCACGGGCGACGACCAAGACAGCGTCCGCCTCTTGGCGATTGAAAATTGCGCGTCGATCGCCAAGCTCCTCACCGAAGACGAGAACACGCAGCACGTGCTCCCCGTCGCGCGCTCGTCGTGCGAAGACCGCTCGTGGCGCGTGCGCTTCAGCATCGCCAAGGACTTCTTTCCCGTACATATTACCATCGTCTTGACCATTGGGCTCATACAAAAGTAGCTGGCCGAGGCCATGGGCGCGAGCATCGCGGAAGGCGAGCTTCTCCACCACTTTGTGCAGCTCATCCAGGACGCCGAAGCCGAAGTCCGCGCCGCGGCCGCCAAGAACATCTCGGGCTTTGCGAGCTTGATCAAGCTCAACACGTTCATGGCCGAGGTCTTTCCCCAGATCCAGCCGCTCTCACAGGATGTGGCCCCGAACGTTCGCAGTACGCGCCTTTGGCCCGTGACCCTCGAAATCTAACATTAACGTAGCGGCTGTCTCGATCGTGTGCATGGAAATCGCCCCCAAGCTCGGCGAGGACGTGACCAAGGCGTCGCTTGTCCCGATCATGCTCCAGTTCCTCCGCGACGACGTGGTCGACGTCCGATTGAACGTCCTGAAGCGCATGAGCGCCGTCTCGCCGTGGATGCATTCGTTTGAAGGCACGCTCTTGCCCGCGATCACGGACCTCTCCAAAGACTTGCAGTGGCGCGTCCGCGAAGCGGTCATCCTCGCGCTGCCGTCGCTTGTGAGTTCGTTGGTAGGCATCACAGCTTCTTATGGTCATATTCTAATATTGGGTGGGATAGGGCGCAACGTACTTTCAGGAGCACCTCCTCGAGATGTTCCTCAACGCGTTCCAAGACATGGTCAGTGAAGTCCGCTTGAGCACGACCAAGATCCTCCAGGAGATCCTCCACGTGGTTGGCAGCGAGTACATCCTCGAGAGCATCTTGCCCAAGCTCGCGCAAATCTACGACAGCTCGATCATCTACCAAGAGCGTGTCAACGTCTTCCACGCCCTCACGGTTTGTCATCTCGTCCCTTAGCATCTCATTCTCACTCGTGTACGATGTAGCAACTGGCGTGCGACAAGACGTCGCCGGACCTGATAGGAGAGATGACGACCTTGTCGATCCGCGGCGCGAACGACAAGATCCCGAACGTCCGGTTCACGGTCACCAACACGCTCGAAGTCTTAGGAAAGCACACGGACAACCCGGCGTTGACGGGCCAGATCAAGTCGTGCTTGGCGCACCTCCAAACAGATACCGACCCGGATGTGAAATATTTCGCCTCGGCCGCGCTCGAGAGCGTCTCGGCGTAGATTGCAATGATAACGACAACCCGATGCATGCTGATGATGCATTTTCCATGTATATAACTTATCGCCACACCTTGACGACGCCGTCCCGCGCGCTCGAGACGACCATTGGGCCGTTGACGTCGACGAGCTTGAGGTCCAAAATGCAGTCGTTGTGCGCCGGCGACGGCGGGATCGGGCCGCGCCGCTCGAGCGCCGGGTTGGGCGCGACCCCGTCGGCCGTGCTGTCACCAAAGTACGACGACGCGTCTTGACACAGATGGATCGTCGGCGGGTCCATCTTGCTCCAAACGAGCTCGGCTTTCGTGACCTTTCGTCGCCCTTGAGCTTCCACCACCCGGAAGGAGCGTCCTGGCTGTCGTAGAAGGACGAGGCGTCGCCGCCGCAGACCGTCAGCGACTTTTTCGGGTTGCGGAGGTCCCAGAACCGAATGCGTCGGTCCTCGCCGGCCGTGAGAAGCGAGTACTCGGACGGCGTCACGATCGCTCGCACGGTCGGCTCCTCGGTCGTCGTCGTCGCCGCAATCTCGTCGAGCGCCTGCGTAAAGTTCTGCGGCCCGAGGACGCTCGCGAGCACGTCTTTGCTCCGGCTCGGCACTTGCACGTGGTGCAGCGTCGGACACGCGTCGGCCTCCGAGAGCTGCACTTGCGTGTGCAGCGTGCGAAAGACGCCGCGGCACGCGCCAATGCTCAAGTCAAAGACTGCGACCTCCGCGTCGCCGGCGGCCACGTACACGAGCGGCGAGTTGCGCGCGGCGTCCGGTCGGCTGGCCACCACGTAGCACGGCTCGAGGCGCTGGATCGCGTGAAAGGACGAGTGGCGCCACACGCGAATGAGCAAATGGTAGCGCAGATCCCAGAGGCAAATGTACCCGCGGCTCGTGCCGACGGCGAGCCACGTCGCATCTGCACCACGCATCAGATGGATATAAGACAACGCGCACGCACCGGACGAGTGGGTGATGCACGTCATGTGGCCGAGCTCGACGCTCACTTGAAGCTTCCACGCCTGGCGACGGAAGCGCAAGTCCCACCTAGTGGACACGCAAATGAGAAAACAAGATAGATAGCGACAATGCGACTACCCGTAGATCGCGCCACTCCGCGTGCCGTACACCAAGAGGGACTCGGTCACGTTGTTCATATAGTCGAGCACGACGACCGCGTCGTTCGGCACGTGCATGTCGCGAAGCGGCACGGTCAGAAGCGCGCCGGTCGAGCTCATGCGCTCGACGCGGACGACGTGGACGCTTCCGTTGCTGGAGCTCGTCGCGAGCGAGTGCGAGTTTTCACACACGACCATGTCGGTGAGCACGCCCCCTTGCGCGTCGTACGTGCCGCGGCTGCCTTGGTTGATGCTGTGGGCGAGGCTGCGCACCGACCAGAGCTTGACGGTGCCGTCGCTCGACGCCGACGCCAAAAACGAACTGTCTTGCGCGACGCCGAGACGGTGCACGGGCCCCGTGTGCTCGGTGAGCTCGGCCGCCAAGACACTTTCGCGCGGCCGCCAATTGCGAAACATCTCGGCGGCATTCGACGCGGCCGATGGCACAATCGGCCCAATCGCCGACGACGGCGTCCCCAAGGCCGACGACGGCGTCGGTGGCAACGACGACGGTGTCGACGACGGTGTCGGCGGCGCACTCGCGGGCAGCGCCGTAGTCACCGGCAGCGACGCGGGCGTGGCCGTCGTCATCGCATGCGAGTAGACAGCGCCTTCGTTCGTGCGGAGCGGGCCCATGTCGAGTGGCAGCGGCGGAATGTCGAGCGCGGTCAGCCGCGCGAGGAGCTTGTGCGAGTGAAAGAGGGCCGGGTCGTGCACGTGGTCGTGTTGCAGCACCTTGGCGCGCGTCGCCGACTCGTCGTACACGCTTTGGTAGGCGTCCGTCGCGAGGCTGCCCGTCTGGAGACCGTAGAGTCGGATGATGTGCGCGAGCGGCATGCTCTCCCACTTGATGAGGCCGGCCTCGCGGTCCTTCTTGGAGCTTTGCTTCAAGACGGCGCTAAACGGCTTGAGCGGCAGCGGCACGGTCAGCGCCACCTTCATGCTCGGCACGCGCAGCGAATGCAGCGACGATTTCGGAATCTTGCGTGTAAACGGGACGAACGGCGCGTCCGACCCGTTGTAGCGCGCGACTTGCTCGGAATTCGTGAGCTGGATCTTGCTGCGCATGTGCATGGACGCCATCGCAATGTACTGGTGCATGAGCGCCAGCCGGACGCCCTCGTCGTGGGCACTCGACCCGACGTAGTAGCGTTCGTAGCGCGCAATCGCTTGGGCGCTCGTCGACTTTTTCAAGTCGTGCAAGGTGCTGGAGCCGTCCAGCGAGTCTTCGCTGTTGAATTTCATGCGGCGCGCCGGCGTCGAGCTCTCGAGATGGAAGCTCTCGTCGCCGCTCTCGGCCCGGCTCATCGTCTCGTCGTCGTCGACATACGCGTCGTCGCCCGCAGGCAGCAAGAGGTGCGGGCCGTTGCGGGCCATGAGCGCCGCGTCAAAGGCTTCGCGCGAGACGTGCGGTCGGAGCGCGTCCCGCAAGACGATCGCAACGTCGTCGTCCTTGCAAAGGCGCACCTTCTTGCGCAAGTACGGGTGCACGAGCGGCAGCAAAAACACATTCCGGTCGACGACGTCCATCTCTTTGGCGATCGCCGCGAGCAGCTTGAGGATCGCGCTGCGCACCCACCAGCCAGGATGCAAGAGCAGTGGCGCCGTGAGCTTGGCCTTCTCGAGCAGCGCCGTGCGCTGAAACATGTCGAGCGCGCAGAGGTTCGCGAGGCAGAGGAGCGCGCGGGCAATCACGAGCTCTTGAATGTCGATGAGCGCTTGCTCAATGCACGGCAGAATGTACAACTCGACCGAGACGTGGCCGACAAACGAGCACACGCCCGTGATAAACTCGAAAACGTCGCGCGGAGCTCCCAGTCGCGGTCGTTGAGAAACGTAATGAGCTGCGGCAAGACCACGTCCAGCGTCCGCTCGCGGCCAAAAAAGATGCACAGCCGGGTGATATCATGCAAGAGCGCGCGCTTGACGAGGCTCGAACTGGCCTTTTGGTCGGGCGCCGCAATCTGAATCACAAAGCGGGACACGAGCAGATGGAGCCGGTTGAGTTCGTCGTCAAACGTCGAGAAGGTGGCGTCGCCGTTCTTGCCGTCTTTGGTGGTTTTGCTCTTGGTCTGCCGCGCCGTCGTCTCGAGCGACGTGCTCGTCGACGTCGCATGCAGCGCCCGCATCTTGAGCGTGCACGAGATCTCGAGGAAGCGCCGCGCCGACTCGGCGAGCGACGGAAGGCACTCGGCAAACGCGATGCGGACCATTTCCTCGGCGTCCGACGGAAAGTGCTGCAGCGCCGGCAAAATGTACTGCGGGAAGATCGCTGCGTCCGACAGTGGAAAGATTTTGACGAGCGAGAGGAGCGACGAGACGCAGCGGATGGCTTCGGCGCGGACCGCTGCACACGCATCGTCGAGGACTTCCATGACGAACGGCACGAGCCGCTGGAGCCGGACTTCGTCGTCGGCAAAGGCGCCGAGTCGTGTGATGAGCTGCAGCGCCGTGAGCTTGGACTGGGGCACGCCGCAGTGCCGGACGCTCGAGCAGAGCAGCGAGAGGATGATCATAATGCCATTCTGGTGCGGGCAAGTGCGGCGGCCGCGTCGAGACGTCCGACGCCGGCAGCACGTCGCCGTCGTCGACGACGTGCATCGGGTCTTCTTCGCGGATCGAAGCACTGGGCTTGACCGATGCCTTCTTCATGCGCTTGAGCGTCTCATGCTTGCGCTTGGCGTACACGCTAAACTTGGCTTGCGTCGACAAGAGCGTCTCGGCCACATCGTCCGACGCGTCGAGAGGCGGCGGCATGCCGTCCAGCGGGTGCTCCATCTCGCTGTACATGCGCTGGGCCACGTCGTCGGTGAAATGCGACCGGTCCGACCCGTACCCTTCCTTGAGGCGGTGCGTGAAGAAGGCCTCGCCCTCCTTGTCGTCGACGCCGACGAGCTCGCGCACGATGCGCCCATAGTACTTGCACACGAGCCGGATCCGGGCGTCCGGCAGCTTCCCACCCCGCGAGAGCACGAGCGACATGAAGCGAAAGAGGAACGCGTCAAAGTACGCGGGAAAGATCGACTGCGTGTACTGGAGGCGGTACGCGGCCGCGGACGAGCGCTGGCGCGGGTCGCGCTGCAGCATGTGCCGCAGCATCTCGGCGAGGGCCGGGTCGGTCTCTTGGAGCTTGCGGATCGTTGCGAGCGCCGTCACGTCCCCGGTGCGATAGCGCAGAAGCGTCGGGAGGTCAAGAGCGGCTTGCCGCCATTGAAGAGCTCGGCGATCACGCACCCGGTGGCAAAGATGTCCATGGACTCGTGGAGGGTGCCTTTGGGCGTCGCGGTCGAGGACGGCGTCGACGGCATGGACGGCGTCGCGCGGGCCATGTTGACGTGCTTGTCAAACTCTTCGACGCTAATGTCGCTGTCGGCGAGGCGCGAGAGCACGTCCCGATGCGAGCCGTAGAAGCGCTCGGGTGCGACCGAGCACGACCGGCGGGAGGCGTCGCTTGCACAAAAGTAGTAGTAGTACTCGGCAGGGTCGTCCTCGGGCATGTACGTGGGCTTGAACGGCGCAAAGTCGGTGAGGAAGATCCAGTTCCAGCTCGTGACCATGACGTTTTCTTGCTTGATGTCGCCGTGGCAGATCCCGCGCGAGTGGCACTGCTCGAGCGCCTTGAGCAGCTGGAACGTGATCCACTTCTTCTCAATGTCGCAAAGGAACGGCCGCGTGCAGATGCGGTCGTAGAGGTTCGCGACAAAGTACTGCCGCACGAGGAAGGCCGCGTTGACTTTGGTGCTGAGCTGAAAGTGGGCGTAGGGCACGATGTTGGGCGTCGCCTCCATGACGCCAAAGGCCGCTTGCAGCTGCGCGAGCTGGACGCGCGCGGCCTCGAGCGACTCGGACGTGTCGTAGCGCCGGTAGAGCTTGACGACGACGACGCCCTCTTCGCACTTGCACTGGACCGTCTTGAGGAACTTGCCGTCGCCGAGGAGGTTGCTGAAGACGAGGTTCATCGTGCTGCTCGGGAACTTGTACTCCATGAGGAGCGTCCGGCATTGCGACGCCGTGTCCAGCTGGCTCGCGTTCGCCGGGACCGCGCGGGGCGCTGCGTTCCCCATCCGACCTCTTGTGTAATGGGACCGTGCTTGCTCGAATTAATAATCTGAGAATCAATTTAGCATACATTACGCAAGATGAAATGCCATAATTGTATTCGGCGCCACGGCCGCCGCTGATTGGCCCGTCATCCGACACGTGCGATCCGGCGAAGCAGGCACCGACGACCGGCCGCGACGACGCGCGACGACGAGGTTGGCCGCCGACAGGCCGCGCGACGCCTTGCACAGAGGTAGCTGCCTGCAGTAGCAAGACGTATGCCTCGAGAGATACGACAAAAACGATGGACAAGGTGGTTATTAAGGCCAACTAAGAGGATGGGCTAGGCGGCACAGCCCTTGCCGCCAGCGATACGGAGGCACGCTGTCGACTCGAATATCGACAAGAGGTTGGTCAAGATGGACCATGCAAGACATAGAAACGCTGTCGAAAAGGCGATGATCGCGGCGACGCGGCTCGACCCGCCCTGGCGTCGAAGGGCTTGGGCTTCGGCCTTCTGGCGCGGCAAGAGAACCAAGGTCGCATTGCTCAAGAGGCGGATACTGTACATGATCACAAACGTGTAGGCGACTTGGCGACGCACGTACGGCGTGTCCTTGGCAATGTCGTCTTGGAACGCGTCAAAGTACCCGTCGACCATTTTAGATAAGCTCGATGCAAATGGTTGCGCGAGGTTCGAGACCGTCGTCAGGAGACCGTACGTCGTGCCCTCAAAGCCGACTTCGGCGACTTCGACGGTCACGTAGCCCGAGACGACGAACCGAACGCCTTGGGGAATGTTGCCGAGGACCGGCGCGCCGAGGTAAAACCACTGGTTGCGGACCACGTCAAAGATGGTGAGGAAGCTCACGGTCGCATCGAGGAGCACCATGGTGACCGTCGTCACGAGAATGAGGAGGCGCCAGCCGACGTGCAGAAAGTACGTTTTCGTCAAGTAGAGCGACAGCGTCAAAAGTGCGTTTGCAAGGACGACGAATGCGGCGCTGTTGAGCGGCTGGACCCGCGCCCAGTCGCGCTGGACCACGTTCGACGGCGTCGCTTCAAAGTCAAAGAGCAGCGCGTTGAAAAACGAAAATGCCATGATCTGCCAGATCGCGCGCTTCTGCGCGAGGAGCCACATGGTCTTGCAGCGACCGAAAAACGGCTCGCCCACGACCTTGTCTTCCTTGGGGAAAAACAGCGTCGCGGGGAGACCCAGCGCGGCGCCGCACGCTGCGAGTAGCATCATGTGGTTGAACGAGAGCGACCAGTTGAAGCTGCCGCCGTAGGCGCGCCCGTTGAAGCAAAAGCCGACGACCGCCGACGCCATCGTCGTCGTCGCGTACCGCACCATGTACACAGTGGTCTGCGTCGTGCCCCGGACAGCCGCCGCCTCGCGCTGGGCGAATTCGACGACGACTGCGTCACACGCCACGTCGGCAATCACATAGCCAAAGCTCGCGAGCATCATGAGGAGGATGTACTTGGCGCCTTCGTTTGGCGCGTTCTTGTTGAGGACGAGGCGGGCGCTCGCATTCGTCGTGCGCTGGAGCTCGCCGGGCACATAGTACGGCGCGCCGACGGGCAGCACGGCCATGATCAAGAGAAAGAGCACGCAGAGACTCCAGCCAAAGAGAATGTAGGGCCGCCGACGGTACCCGCGAATCGGAAACGAGTCCGAAATGACCCCAATCACCATCTTGAACGACCACGGTAGACCGACAAGCACCGTCGCGGCCGTCGATTGGTACCCGTCCATGTTGAGGTACAAGCTCATGAACGGGTAGATGGTGCTGGGAAAGATGCCGAGCACCAAGCCGACGCAAGCGTAGTTGAGGAGCAGCCCAATGTTCTCGCGCGCGTACAGGTTGGGCGACCCGCCCTTGCGGAGCGCGTCGGCTTGGATCGCACCGGCCTCGAGCGCGCTATCGTCGTCGTCCGAGCTCTCGTCAAAGGTGGCGTCCGTGTCGGCGACGCTGCAGAGCGGCGAGGGCAGCAGCGCCTTTGTCTCGGCGCCGTCGACCTCGCGCATGTCGGATAAAGAGGTATCCAGCATGAGGGCCTCTTCTTCGTCGTCCGCGAGCTCATGCGCCGGGCGGTGGCGGACCTCGGTGGCGGTCATCGCGTCCATGGCTACGTGGCGCGGGCTTCCAAACTGGCCAACGTTCGCTGAGGCAATCTGACAACGTTCCGGCTCGTGGATCGCGCCGTGGTGAGTTTATTTTGCATATTTCTATATATTATTATAAAGATAAAACATTCGCATGCAAATACAGCGTATGGTACATGCATATCGGAGACTGACATGTAATAACATATGGGTTGGTTTGAAAATGGTGTTACGGTATAGGATACTATTAGTGTTATCGGTGATCAACGCCTTGGTGTTGCACCACGACTTGCAGGCTCGAATCAACACGTGCAGCCTCACCATGCTAGTGGTGGCTTTGCCTACTACTAGTAGGCACTTGTACTCGAGAGCTGTATGCTTCGGGTATCGTTCCATGCTGGCCATCTGCGGAACGAAAGATATAAAAAGCGAGTCCATTCGAAATACTTATATAACACCCCCGATCCTGGCGCCATCATCACTCTCTGCCATTACAATCCGCTGCGGTCGCAGCAGCAAGATGCTGCATGGCGGACTACCTGCGCTCCAGCTGCAAGAAGAAGCCGTGCTCGACGTCGCAAGCTGCGAACCACCCGCGAAGACGAAGGACCTTGACGAAGGCCCGACGACCGCGCTGCGCCTCGGCGGACCTATCGACCTGTACGCACGCGAGAACATCGGCTTGCTCATGAACTACGCCGCCGTCGGCCTCGTCCATGGCACGTTTCCCAGCACGATCTACCCATTCCTCAACATGTACCTCAACATGGACGGCTTCCAGGTGGCCGGCGCGGCGGCGCTCATCGCGCTGCCCTGGTCGTTCAAGATGCTCCTTGGCGTCACGTCGGATAGCCTTCCGATCCGCGGTCGGCGACGCCAGCCGTACATCGTGCTCGGCTGGAGCCTCTGCCTGCTCTTCCTCTTGCTCATGGCGGCAACGCCAGTCCACTCGCCGTACTACGCGCCAGGCGAGATCCAGCGCACAACGACCGCATCGTTGCGGGTCGTCTTGAACGCCCATGCATCCGGCGAAGGCATTACGTACATCCTCCTCATGATGCTGGCGAGCTTTGGGTACGTCATGGCCGACGTGGCGTGCGACGCGGTCGTCGTCGAGTGCGCGCAGCGCGAAGAAGAGGCTGTTCGCGGCCGCACGCAGACCACCATCTACACGGTCTCGCCATCCTCCATCGGTACAAACTCAAACACAACAACACCATTAGGTGCGCTACGCGTTTCAGACGTTGGCATCGGCGATCGCTGGTCTCTCGCTCAACGGTCCGTCGTACGGCGGTAGCTTCAACTGGGGCCTCTCGTTCAACAACCTCATGGCGCTCACGAGCTTCGCGACGCTGCTCGGGCTCAGCGGCGCGCTCCTCTGCTTCCCCGCCGAGACGCCATCACCACCTCTGGCGTTTGGCGCTCGCTCGAGGGACCTGTGGCGGCTCGCGCAGACCCGCGCGATCTGGCAGCTCATGGCCTTTTCGTTCCTGAACGCCATGCTGTTTGATTTCGAGGCCGTCCCGTCGCTCGTCGTCCAGCGCGACTGGGCGCGCGTTCAGCCACTGAACGCCGCCATCTTCAACGTCATCTCGCTCGGGCTCATGACACTCGCGCTCTTCTACACGAAGCGACATCTCTTGCAAGCCAATTGGCGCGTCCTCATGGCCGTCACGACGTGCTCGGTCGTAGCCCTCGATGCGACCGTGAGCTTCCTCACCATCTTTGACGTGGTCCGCAACCAGTGGTTTTACCTCGGTGCGCCCGTCCTCGGCAACATTCCCCAAGGCGTTCGGTTCGTCGTCGCCACGTATGCCGCGGTGGAGGTTGCCGACGTTGGCTTGGAAGGCACGACGTACGGTCTTCTGACGACGGTCTCGAACCTCGCGCAGCCATTTGCATCGAGCCTTTCCAAGATGGTCGACGGGTACTTTGACGCGTTCCAAGATGACATTGCAAAAGACACGCCGTACGTGCGTCGCCAAGTCGCCTACACGTTTGTAATCATGTACAGTATCCGCCTCTTGAGCAATGCGACCTTGGTTCTCTTGCCGCGCCAGAAGGCCGAAGCCCAAGCCCTTCGACGCCATGGCGGGTCGAGCCGCGTCGCCGCGATCATCGCCTTGACCTTGTATGTCGTCTGCCTTGTCTGGGCCATCACGACCAACGTGCTCTCAATCTTGCCAGCGACGGCGTGTTTGCGCATCGCTGGTGGCGACGGGTGCGACCCGTGAGGCTCGACGCGAATCCGAACCAGCGCGGCAAGCCGTCGGCGGTTCAAATCCTGGCAAGCGGCGAGCACACACGAACATGGTGCACGTCGACTTTAAGACAAAGAAACTAGTGCAGGATGCAAAGACGCTCTTCAGGCACGTGCACGCCACGCGTGAGAGCTTACCCTGTTGGCGCACACGGGTCGCGTCGGCGAAACCCTAGCCCCAATGTAACCCTACCCTGGCGCACCAAATCGCCCGCCCCTAACAAGACAACGGTCGCGCCAAGGCGTGTCCCTCAACCCTCATTCACTCACGCCATGACTCACTCCTTCACTCCTTCACTCCCTCAGTTACTCACTCAAGCACCCAGTCCGTCAATCAGTCTTCACACATGTCGTCGAGGGGGCCGTAGGCTACACGACCTTACGAGAGAATGAGTCGAAACTTGACGGCGCGGTCCGGGTGCGAGATGTAGTCGATGAGCGTTTGAATAAAGTTGCTCGTCTTGCGCTGCCACTTGAGGAACGGGTTGGAGTCCTTCATCTGCGCGATGGCAATGATGGCTGTGACAAACTCTTGGTAGATGAACTGGCCTTCGTTCAAGTCGTCTTGGCACGCGTTGAAAACGATGAGGTTCATGCTCGACGGGAAGAAGACCGCGTCGTTCAAGCCAAAGTCCTGAATGAAGCGCTCGAATTCGCCAAAGTTCATCTTCCACGCCTCCATGTCAGCGATGTCCTGGCGGCAATAATACAAGTACAACCGCCGGAGCAAGTTGCGGTGTCGGTTCAAGAGCCGCTGGAGCTCGGGCGCCGCGACTTGCCGACGGAACGTGATCGAGAGATTTTGGCAAATGTTGGGCAACAGGTACCGTGTACAGAGGTCTTCGAGCACAACCGCGACCCGCTCCGGCTGCACGAGCTGCAATTTGGACTGCTTTCGATCAATGAACGGCCGCTCCACCGCGTGCTTCTCGGCCGCGAGACGGATCATGAGCTCAATAAAGCTCGTCGCGAGGAGCCGGTCGGTCTCTGGCTGTCGACTCACGACCGCGGCAAAGATCAACGACATGTGCACGTTCGTAAAGTGACTCGAGCCGAGCCGGAGATCGTGCATGAGCTCTTCAAATCCACCGCGCGTGATGCCGCTAAGGTTGTTGCACACGAGCGAGTACGACCGGTACACGTCGTTGAGCTGCCACGCGTAGCGCTGGAGCACGCTGTCGATCGCGACGCACTCGTTGGTGTGGATGCAGTGGTCGTGGAAGAGGTCTCGGATCCGCGCCGGATCAATGTGCGAAAAGTTGATCATAAAATCCGACGATGGCGCCGTGTACAGCGCCGCGTTGAACACCTGGTGCCCCGTGACCGCATCCGGGATGGCCAAGATGCCTTTCGCAATCAGAATGAGCTCGTCCGACCGCGCGAGCTCGGCAATGTAAAAGTGGTCGCCGCCAGCGCCGCTCCCCGACTCGGTGTGGCGCGATCGAAAGCCGCGGGCCGCGCCAACGCGCCAGCACACGTGCATGAGGTGCCGAAGCAGCGTAAGGGCGAGAAGCGGGTCCATCTCGGCGTGGTCGTTGGCGCTCAGTGCTTTCACGAGCCGCTGCTTGATTTGCATGACGTGCTTGGCGACAAACGGGTTCGAGTCGCCTTCGCACGCCACGTAGATACTCGCGACGTGCGTGTCCCAGACGTACTGCAGCGCGGCTTGGGCCGACGTCTTTTCGTCATTTGAAATGGAAATCTCGGCAAACGGCGCCGGCAACGACGCAAAGTCGGGCCGGAACCACCCGAGGGACGTGGCCGTGTACACAAAGGCTTCGAACGTGATGCCATGCGAGTAAAAGCGGCGCGTCGAGAGGATCTTGACTGTCATTTCCGTCATTTGGCCAAACGACAGGTGCGTATCGAGGCGAGCGAGCACGACGGCAAACTGAATCGTGGTCAACACCGCGGTTTTTCGGGCGTCGGGGGTCGCCCCCCGGCGGCGCTTGATTGGTTTGCGAACCTTTTTGCTAGGTTTTGGGGCCTCGTTGGCCCGGCGACGCGCCTTGGTTGCCTCGGTTTGACGCGACTCGATCGCTTCGAGGGCTCTCTGCCGCGTGTCCAACGCGACCGCTTCGTCGTGCACTTGGTTGAAAAGGAGACGGACCGACTCGAAGAACCAGTCTTTCTGCTTCTTGTACATAAGGACAAGGGCGTATAAAAAGACATCGAGCGGGTAGCATTCCTCGCCGTGAAGATGCACGCGAAAGGCATCGAGGAGGTCGTGGAACTCGCCGAGGTAGATGGGTCCGCGCGCCGTCGTGTGCTCAAAGAGCCGCTGGCAGTCGTACATGGCATCAAGCGACGGGTGGCGCTGGAGCGACGTGGTGGCTGGCGACAAGTGATTTGCAAACCCACACGTCCGGAACCGCAGCGTGCGAAAGAGTGTGCGCGTGAGGAGCGTCGCCTTGAATTTCGAAATGTAGTGGGGGTGGACTTCTGGTCGCGAATCGAGCTCGGCGCCAATCGGGATCTGGTCCATCGACTGGACGAGCCAGACGTAAAAGTCGAGCACTTCGTCCGAGTGGGCGCCGTCGAGGAATTCGGCAAACATGCGCACGTCCCCATACACGCACCGGAGGCGGTAGATCAAGTCGAGAAACGCAATCGCTTCCTATGCCGCCACGTCATCGACGTCTATTTATAGATTGCTACAGTAGTACCTTTTGCGCCATTGCAGGCTCTGAAAATCTGGCAAAGTGGAAGCCAACGACGACCTCGACGAGCGTCTCGCGCGGCTCGTGTGCGATCGAGGCGCACTCGTCCAGAAGCCGCTTGCGCTCAAAGATATCTCGAATCGTCTGGCGCACAAAGGCCAGGTCGGACGGCGCAGCGCTTTGCTCCAGTGCTCGAACGGCGCTTGCCTCGACGTGGGCGTGCAACTTGAGCTTGGACACAGCGGTTGCGACGCTGGCAAAGAGGTTGGCGTCGGGCATCTGGCGCAGCGCTACCGGCGGCGTCGGCGGCGGCGGCAGCGAGTAGTTGAGCATACTCAAGAGCCGCTTGGCCGGGTCCTTGGACATGAGCGTTTCGAACGAAATGTCGGGCAAGTCGGCTTCGTCGACTTCGTCGCTGTCGTACTCGAGCACGTTGGCGGCCATGGTCGCAATCTCTTGGGTCGTCGGGAGCACGCCGACGTCGGTAGCCCGCCGCATGCGCGTCACGACCGACGCCCGCGTCACTTTGGCGCGCGTTGCATCGATCTGCCGCATACGCGTCTGCACCATGTCAAACTCGAGCTCTTTCACACGCCGCCGCTCACAGAGAAGCTCGGCTTGGAGCTGCTGGAGCTCGATGTCGAGCGCCAGCGGCTGTGAAAGCTCTTCGACGTCGTGCGTAAGGATCGACACCTTGCGCTGCGCCTAGTCACCTGATGTAAGCGCATGCGACAGTAGTACTTGTTTGTGTGCACCTGCTCCAAGTCGCGCCGTGCTGTCTCGTGCTGCGCGAGCAGCGTCTGGTACGAGGTTTCGAGCCGGGCGTGGGTCGTTTCGAGCGCGTGGTGCGCCTTGAGCAACTCGTGGTGGGCTTCCTCAAACTTGGAGTCGACCGTTGTCGCGAGCGCCGGCGACGCGGCCCGCGCCCGCGCTTGGTTGACAACCGAAAAGAATTGCACCTCGGCGAGTTTGCGCTTGTGGCGGTCGTCGGTCGACGCGACGTCCGTCTGGAGCTGCGCCAGCTTCTTGTTCGCTTGCTCCAGCGAGTCTTCGAGGCTATTGACCACCTGCTCGAGCTCGTGGATCTCGTTGATAAAGTACGTGCGCACGAAGGCGTCAATGACGCCGAGGCGTCGGGCCATGTCCCGCAGATGCGCGGCGCCTGCCGTTGACGTTGCGGCCGCGAGCTCGTCGATGCCGCTGACAAACAAGGCGACAGCTTGAATAGAGATTTCGCGCGCCAGCCTCGAGTTGTTGAGCGTGTCTTGCTCATCAAAGATGCTCGAGATGATGGTTTCGCGGAGGTCGTTCAACGATGCGAGAACGCAATCGACGGCGGGTGTAGTCGTTGCGACGTCCTCAAACGGGCGAAGGAGGGTCTGGAACTCGGTGAGCGCGCTTCGGTCGAAGGGCACGAGCCGCAGCTTCGGGTCAATCTTGAGAACGCCCGAGACGCGCTGCATCTCATGGAAGCTCGGGCGCGCGACTCTTGCCTTGAGTGACGAGAGGCGACGGCGACGCATCATCTTGTTGGTTGCCTCTGCGGTCGCAGGCACCTCTTCTTCAATCGGCAGCGTCAGCTCGTCGTCACTGAGATTGCAGTGGCGCAGCTTGTGCGTCGAGCCGCAGCTACCATCCGCAGACAGCGCGAGGCTCGCGCGGCGCGGCAATGGCGCGTGGTGGTCCTCTCGGATGAGCGCCGCCAGCGCCGCTTGGGAGACATCGTTCGACATGGGGAGGGAATCAGAACGATATATTTCCTTGGAGATGGCAACCAATCGAAAAAGAAGACACATATTGTTCCTACGTGAAACTGGCGCCCATTCGGCCTTTGGACACCATGGGCGCTTGCAGTGGCCACGCGCTCGCGATGGAAGACGCGTATACGCTCGAGCAAAACGGGCTCATCGGGTGCGGCGCGCACTCCAAGGTGCTACGGGCGACGCACAAGACAACCGGCGAGAAAGTCGCCGTCAAGTTGCTCTTTGCCAGCACAACGCTGGATCGCAGCGCGTGGGAGGCCCAAGTGCGCCTCATGAAGCAGCTCGACCCGCACCCCAACATCATTCGCCTCTTTGAGACATACGAGACGGTATATCGTCTTTTGCTATATGTGTCGGCGACGACAACTGCGCGCGTAGGAGGAGTATGTCTGCCTCGTCATGGAGCTCGCCGACGGCGGTGAGCTCTTTCAGATGCTCGTTCGGGTGCGACGCTGCCACGTCACAAGTGCGAGTACCAACATCTATAGGACGGCGCGTACTCGGAAGCGATTGCGCAGCAGTATGTGCGCGACATCTTGACTGCGCTCCAGTACCTCCACGAGAAGGGGATTGTGCACCGGTGCGATATGGCCGCCTCCAGGCGCTAGCTGAATTGGGTGTAGGGATCTCAAGCCCGAGAATCTGCTCCTGACGTCCAAGCACGCCGGCCGCGCCCATGTCAAGCTGGCGGACTTTAGCATGGCCGCGATCGTTACGGTTGCTACGACTCTGCATGGATCATATCTCATGGGTTCGTGCAGAGCAAGCGGCTCGCGGCGAAAGGCGGTCTGACGTGGGCGTATTGCGCACCGGAACTTCTCGACGACGACGACGACGGCAGCGCCACCTACGACGGCAAGAGCGACATGTGGAGCCTTGGTGTCATTTTGTACATCATCCTCTCGGCGGTCCACCCGTTCGACCCGGACGGTCGCCACGGCAAAGAGTATGCGGCGACGCCTCTCACGTCACCGCTAACGCAACATGCTAGCAACATTGTGGCCGCGATCCGACACGGCGAGTTCCACATGGACGGGGTAGGACAGCGTCCGCTGAACGCGTTCTCGTGTTACATGGATGGCGTAGGAGGTGTGGCGCGACATTTCGGACGAAGCCAAAGATCTTGTCCAGAAGCTGCTCACAAAGGACCCAGCAGCCCGCATCTCGGCGGCCGATGCACTCGGTCACCCGTGGTTGTCCAAGGACGACTTGTCGTCGCTTCCACTCCAGTGCTCGCTGAACCTTACCGCGTACCTCAAGGCCATGCACCGGCGCTTCCGCGTACGACCTGACGACGCACTCGTGGTTTGATGCTGGCGTAGGTGAGCGTGATCGCGACGATGGCAGCTGCGCGGCTCGCGAGCGTCAAGGCCGCCCCCGTCGACGTGCGCGATGTCCATGTCGCCGCAGACGATGAAAGCGGCGACGAGCCAAATGCCGCCGCCGCGCTCACCGAGTCCACCTCGCAGGCGAGTGTTTCGGCCGAGACCACCACGCATGCTCAGTCGTAGCTGCCACAAAGCCGTCTTCCACCGCATGCCTCTAGTGCAATCTAGCGTTATATAGTCCATTTACTACTAAACATGCATGATGTCCACGTTGTTGCCACCATGTGGTCGTGTCAAGTTCAACTTGGGTCGTCGCGTGCCCTTTCAACGAAAAGTCCGAAATCAACGCATGGCGCACTGGCACTCCGGGTGTATCGTCCTATTTTCGTCCTAAAAACCGATTTGAAGAGGCAAAAGTCCGAATTGGGTTGCTGGTCCCGGTGCGCCGGGTCGCAGCTGCACTTTCCGAGAGTGCCATAGGAATGCAGGCCGGCGACGACAGCCTCCTGAGCTTTGACGCGCTCAAGGCCGACGAGAAGAACCGCAAGCTGCGCCTGGACCAGGCCGGGAAGAACGCCAACGCACTCCGGCGGGCGGTCGAGAAGCTTGGGAGCGAGGAGCTCGCGCAAGAGATCCAGATCAAGTTTCAAGCGCTGAGCCGCAGCATCAAGGACCCCGAGTTTGTCGTGGCCGATGACATGATCAAGGATCTGCTCGAGAAAGACTTTTCCCAAAACGAGATTCGGCAATTGCTGCACGTCGGCTGCGGCCGGATCATCCGCGTCGAGAAGGAGCTCAAGACCGGCATCAAGCAGCCGCTGACCGCATCGTCGCCGACAAACGCCAACAAGGCCAAGTTGGTCAAGCAAAAGGAGAAGCGCCAGCGCACAGTCACGAGCTCGCTCGAGTCCATGTACCCGAACCTGGATGTGCTCCACATGAAGTCGATCAAGTCGCTGCACGTCATGCTCCGCGACAAGCGCTCGACGCACGCGCAATTCAAGCACTACGCCGACCGCCTCATGCGGTACACACCACCAAATCATTATAGCTCGGTATCATCTAATGCGCGGGCCGTAGGATACTCGCGGAAGAAGCCCTCGCGGCCTGCGCCGTCGAGCGCTGCACCGTCTGGACCGCCACGGGCGCCGAGTTTTCCGGACTGCGGCCCAACAACAACGTGTGCGTGGTGTCGATCGTGCGCGCTGGCGACAGCCTCCTCGACGCTGTCTTGCACTGCTCGCCCAACCTCGCCGTCGGCAAGATCCTCATCCAGCGCAACGAAACCACGGTGGAGAAGTCGCCGGTTCTCTTCTACACCAAGCTGCCACCGCGCATCGCCACATACGACCGCGTCCTTATCGTAGACCCGATGCTGGCGACGGGCGGGAGCGCCAACATGGCCATCCAGGTACGACATCTCGTTTGTGTTGCGATTCCAAGTGTGCGTAGACGGTGCTCCAAGCCGGCGTCGAAGAGAGCAACATTGTGTTTGCCAACGTCGTGGCGTGCCCCGAAGGCATCCGAGCCATCTTTGCCGCGCACCCGAACGTCACAATCGTCACGGCGGCCGTCGACCAAGAGCTGAACGAGTCCAAGTACATTGTTCCGGGCCTCGGCGACTATGGCGACCGCTACTACGACACAACGTACTAAGGTAGTAGCATATAGTATGCAATAAGAAGAAGATAAGAAGCGTAGGTAGAGTGCACAACGCGCCTATCGCATGTCGTCGGCGCACTCGGCGGCTTCGAGAATCGCATAGATACTGCGGTCCAGCGTCGGGCAAAGACGGTCCGGGTCGGGCGACCGTGGGTGCACGGATGCATACGCGTGCAAGGATGGCCACCGGCGCTTCGTCGTCAAGAGCCAGCGAGCGATTGGCGAGAGAAGGTGCCAGGACCACCGGCTGCGGCGAGCGGCCGGCGCGGCCTCGCCCGACTGCCGCAGAGCGAGGACCGTCACGTGCTTGCGCGAGAAGAGCGCTGTTGTCCATCGTTGGCGCATCTCCTTGCGCGCGTCCGTCATCGCGACTTGAGTGCGTCGCCGTTGAAAACTCGAACGCTTCGAATTTCCATTTTTAGCCACGATCACATTGCGCAGCCTCTGACTCTACTCGACGAACAACGTCAACAGCCGATAGCTTCGATGACTCCTCAAGCACCTCTCTCTGCGCACAGGATGACCATGCAGGGTCGACATGACAGCGACGGCATGCGCTGGTGCATGGAGGTGGCCATGAAGAAGAAAAACTCGTCGAGACAAGTGGAGTGACCAGGGAAGAGACCAGGTACACAAGAGAATGAAAGACAATGGTTGACGATGCAGGGGTGCTGCTTATGGCTGTTTGTTTTGCGTAAAGTTGATGTTGTACGAGCCGGTGGCCGGGTCCTGGACCATTTGAAAGTTGTCCGTGCTCAGCCCAAACTTGCCGAGGATCGTGTTGCCAAACCCCTTGAGCTTCTCGAGCATCTCGGCCTTCATCTTTTCTTGGCGCTCCGTCACGAGGGCGCTGAGGCGCTTCTCCGAGTCGCGCGCCGACGCAATCGTCGGGTCGATCTCAAGCACGCTCTTGACGTCTACACAGAGCGAATATAGCAGACCTGTAGGGCAACGTTGGGAGGTGCAAGTACCTTTTAGCGCCTCTTCCAGCTTGTCGAGCTTCTCGTAGGCCTGCGCGCGGCGCAGGAACGCCTACAGAAACAGTGCTCAGTGTCGACATCGGCGGCGGCGACGTCGCTACCTTGACGTAGTTCGGCGAAAGCTCGATCGCGACCGTGCAATCCTCGATCGCTTCTTCTTGCCGACCCTATATCGCAGGTTGCAGGTCGATTTAGCTGGAAGAAAGAGGATCCGTACCAAGTGGAACAAGCAGGCCGCGCGGTTGTTCGAGTAGACAGCCTACAAGCATGCATGGTACAGACGGCAATAATGCGCGCAAACGTACGCGGTTGTAGGCGTACTCTGTACCAATAGGGCACAGCCGCAGTGCCTTGGAGTAGCAGTCGATCGCGTCGAGGTACCGCCCTTCCTTGAAGAAGCTGCGTGCGCCATGAGATCCCAGCGCTGGCTCTGGCTGTCATCGTCGTACCTGTTGCCCTCTTCTTTGGCGTCCGAGGCGAGCTTGACGTCCTTCGCATCGAGGCTCATCTCGTCCATGGCCTTCTCCAGCGCCGGGTTGCTCTCGGCCTCGGCCTTGCGCTCGGGCGCATGCGACGTCTCCTCGAGGATCTCAAAGCGGTCCGCCATCGCCGCCGACGTTCTGTAAATGTCCGGTTGCAGCGCATGTATCCGGACGATAAAGATTTTCTGGAAAGGACCACCGCATTGCGAGCCGTCGGAACCGCTGCCGGAATCGCGCCATGGCCCACCAAGGCAGCTCCTCATCACTCCCGTAGCTGTCTTACGACCCGTAGCTGCGCTTGGGTGCTTTGCTGGCGACGACCAAAGTCGCCGCAAACGCATGTTTGTATAGAGCGCACATTTACTTTTTCTTTTTGCCCTTGCCCTTGCCCTTGCCGCCTTTCTTGCCCTTCTTCTTGGCCGCGAGCTCCTTCCGCACCACGTTGCCACGAAACACTTTTTGAATCTTGGTTGCTGCGTCGTGCAAGACCTAGCCACGATCGATCGTGCGTCGCGGTATGCGCTATGGGAGCGTACTTGGACTTGCCGGCGCTCTTCGGCGCGGACCGCTTCGAGCACCTTCTCCTCGGCATCGATGCGCCGTTGCTCTTCATCAATCTAGCCATCATCGCATGCACATGGTGTTGTTGCGTGCAGAGACGACGACGTGCCTTTTTAAAGTGCTCGGAGAGTTCCTGGAGCTCCTTGAGCTCCTTTGTGTACTGTGCTTGGGTCGTATCGATCTCGGTCGCCAGCACGGTCATTTCAGCGTCGTACTTTTCGATCGTCGCCGCGACTTCGACGCCAATCTTGCACTTGGCTTTGCGCAGTCCGTCCTCGACGTCGCGGTGCTCGGTCGTGTCGGCCTCGAGCTTGCGCGTGAGCTGCAGGTAGCGCTCGTTCAGCGCTTGGATATCGATGTTTTGCTTCTCAAAAGCCTTGTCCAATGTCTCCTTGACTTGGGCCTGGATCATTGCGAGCTCGTTGTTGGTATTCTACGTTCGCTGTCATTCGATACGCGTGTATGGATCCGCATGTCACCTTGTTGATGGTCGAGAGCTCGGCCTTGAGCTTTTGCAGCTGAATGTCCAAGTGCGACGTCTCGTCTTCTTTGGCTTTGCGCAACTCGCTGAGTTTGTCGCGAAGACTCACGAGCTCGTCTTCCGCTTGCTTTCGCCGGTTGTAGATCGTGTCCATCAACTCTTGGTGCGTCGTCTCTTCTTCGACGGTCTTGCCGAGCTTGGCAAACGAGAGGTCCGTGAGCTCGGATAGAAACTTGATGAATTGGAGGAGGTCGTCGGCCGGCTCCTTGGTGGGCGTGCCAAAGAACGTGTTGAGAAACACCGGGTTCTCCCGCATGTGCCGACACAGGCTGCGCGCCGCGACCTTGACCTTGTGCCAATTGTCATCGCTATCGGCTTTGGCGTGCGCGTCTTCGAGCTGCCACTGGGTCTCGATGACGCCCGTGGCGCAGCCCGTCTCGCGGAGCTGGCTCAGAAGGCGACTCTCGGCCTTCACAGGCACGTACGTGAGGAAGCTAAGGCGGTCGAGCATGTCGCCCAGCACGGACATGACCTGCTGGGACTCGACGCTCGTGAGCTTGTTCATCGGCGCGCCGCGTCCCTTGAAGATCGAGCGCCTTGCTGCGTCAATGTGATTGGTTCGAAATTGCACGGAACAGCGCCTGCGATTGGTCGACGCGCCGCGTCTTTCCATTTTCAAAGATCGACGCTCGCGGGATGCGCGTGCTGCGGGGTCTGCTGTGGCTTATCAGCGCGGCCTGCGCTGAGGCGCCATGGACGCCGTTCGCTGCGCTCTGGCCGCGCCGCCTCCTCGCCCACTTCCCGCTCAACGCCGACGTGGCCAACGCGGCCAGCGCCGGGAGCGCGTCAACCAACGTGACTCTCATCGAGCGGCCAACGCCTCCTGGCACCGTGGGCATGGCAGGCTTCTTCAACGGCGAGAGTCGCATCGACGTCGCCATCGACATCAACGCCCATGTCCACAGCGAGGTGACGATCGGCGCCTGGGTCTACGTGCCCGAGTACTCGACGCCGGACCGCGCCAGGTGGCTTTGGCCCTTTCCCTCGGGTGCTCACGTGCTTGTCGTAGCACGCTATGGACGCATTCAGATGACAGCACCCACGAGCGTGCGCTCTACTTTGACACGCGCGGCTGGAACGTCGCCACGGGTGCGTATGCCACGGGCACAGCGGGTGGCCTCGCGGTCGCAGTTGGTCAATGGTCGTTCGTCGCCGCCGTTTACAACGAGCACAACGCGTCCGTTCTGCTCTACGTCGATGGGCACGTGGTGTACAGCGCAACGCAGATGCGACTCGGCGCGTCCACGACGCAACTCGGCGCCAACTTTCGCGGGTTCTTAAAGCACGCATTTCTGTACAACGTCGCGCTCCATACCGGCGAGCTGGACTATCTGCGCACCACGTCGATCGCGTCGCTACCGCCGTTGGCCGGTCCCAGTGGGTACGCACTGGCGTTTCCGTCGTTGGCCGCGATTGGTCTCTCCATTCCAGTCCCGTCGGACCCGGCGCTTTCCGCTGCAACGACACTTGGCCTCTGGCTCTCAATCGACTTTGCACTTCAGCCGCGACAGTGCCTCGGCGCCTTTATGCCCCCACGTGGCGCGATGGCCGACACAATGCACGTGGTGCTCGTCCGCGACACGAAGAGCGACCGGTACGTGATAGAAGTGGTGACTCTCAACAGCGCGACGCTGGATGTTAAAACCACAAAGACCGTCGGCGTTGCCGCCCTACCCGAGAATGGCGAGTGGGGCCATCTTGCGTTGGTCTACTCCGGTGCATCTCTGGCTTTCTACACCAACGGAGAGCTTGCGGTGCGTATCAGTGGCGTTGGATTAGGGCCATTGAACCTTTTCTGTTAGGCGACGATGCCGCTGACGACACCGCTCCTGTTGCCCGGCGGCCGCGTCGATCTTGGTCTCTGCGGCGGCGTCAATCACGCAACGATGACGTTTCTTGGCTCGATGGACGAGATCCAGTTGTGGTCGACCGCGATGGCTCTGCGTGGGCACACGCGGCTCGCTGGCTCGGAACCTGGACTTGTCGGGTACTGGGATTTTGACGGCACCACGGGCACCCTCGACGTACCAAGCAAGACGATTGGCTACTCGCCGCGGCTGAACGCGCACATCCGGATCGTGTCGTACGAAAGGGGTGCCATCGGCAGCTTGTTTCTGGCGCCGTCTCGCGCGCGCATCGACGCAGCGGTGTCGACGCCAATGAACACGCCGGTGCGAGTCGCGCTGCACGTCACACCCATGGCGCAAGCGCAGCTGACGGCGTTGCCAGCCCAAGGAACGCTGTACATGGTGCCAATGACAACACGGTTGCTCTTCGATACGACGACGGCGGTGGCCATAACGAGTGCACCGTTGACGATTCCGTCGACAAGCTCCATCTTCTATGTCCCCCCGCCCAACGTCTTTGCAAGCCGTCTGGCGACACTCTCGTATGTCGCCGATGTTGATGGTGATCAAAGCGCTCCGACGACCGTGCAATTCGATGTGGCGCCAGGTCCGATTCTACCGACGCTTGGCGTAGGCTCGATACTGGCGGTGCAGCTCGGCGGCTACCGCTTTGAAGACATTGATGCAGACGAGTATATGGGCACGATCGCTGCATCGGTTCACATCAACACCATCAGCAGCACGGACCCATACCTGCGCGTGACGCTGCCCACGTCTCCCGTCGCATCGAGTCTCGTCGCATCCAACCAAACGTCGGCCACAATCGCTTTGCTCGGCGATCCGTCGCTCGTGTCGATGGCTGCATCGCAGATCTCAGTCGTCCAAACCGGCGCGTTGGCAACGACGACTTTGATGCGTCTCGAGGTCGACGACACGGGTCCTGGCGCCCTTCGCACAAGCCTGTCGCTGGAGTGGACACAAGCCATTGCGTCTGTGCCCGATGTCGCGTCGATCTCACCCACGCAAGGCTACATGGAAGGTGGCGCTCTACTGAGTGTGCTGGGTGCCAACTTTCAGACGTCGCTTTCGTACACGTGCTTCTTTGGCAACATGTCCAGCCCCGCGCAAGTGGTCTCGGTTGCATTGCTGCAGTGTCGAGTGCCGCCATCGTCGACGACGGGTGTCGTTGGCGTGACGGTGGCCCCGACATCAGCCCCCGTCTTTGCGAGCCGTCCGCTGGCGTTTGTGTATGGGCCACCGCTTCTCATTTGGAAGGTGGCTCCTACAAGCATTGACCGCCTCGGCGGGACACAAGTACTCGTAGCCACCAACGCGTCTGCCTACGCGGACCTGTCGGTGTGGAGCTGCGTCTTTGGCGGGTCCATCGTGGTACCGGCCGTCGTCGTGACGCCGACGCTTGTGGCGTGCAACAGCCCCAATCTCATCATGCTACGGAGTACAACGGTGCGATTGGGTCTCTCGCCCAATCAAGGCGCGGATATGACACTTGTCGATGCACCGCTCGAGATCGTGGAGACACCGACGCTTGCTTGGGTGGAGCCGCGATGGGGACGTCGAGACGTGCCCAACAACATAACGCTTTACGGCGCCAACTTTGCGCCCACGAGTCGCTGCTATGTCAACGGGGCGGTCGCCGTCTCGACTTTTGTGTCTGCAACGGCGCTAAAGTGCATCGTACCGCCGACAACGGTGCGGCAGATGGCATCGATCGGCATCGGGGATACCCGCTCCCCGATCGAGGCGCATGCACTGAGGTTCGATGCCTACGACGACGCACAACTTGCAGCGGTCTTGCCTTCGGAAGGTCCCGTGACTGGCGGCTACACGGTGACGGTCTCTGGCGCGAATTTTCAAAATGTCTCGTCGCTCCAGTGCTGGTTTGGTGCCCGCGTCCGTAGCCTTGCGCGATATGTGTCGGCGACATCGCTGCAGTGCACCGTGCCTGATCTTTCAGCTCTGGCAGTCATCGGCGACGACGTCCCGCTCAGCGTCAGTATCAACGGCATCGTTGACTCGAGTACGGCGGTAGCGCTGCTCGTGTACTTGGCGCCGAGCGTCAGCGGCATCTACCCCGCCTTTGGGGCCACGTCTGGCAGCACGCTCGTGTCTGTCGTTGGCAGTCACTTTGTCTCGACACCGCATCTTGAGTGCCGCTTTACGGCCACGGCCACCGGCATTGTCGTAGCGACACCGGCCGTTCGCATCTATGCCAGCATGGTGCAGTGCACGGCACCACCCGTGGCCACGGGGGGACCGTACGGCGTCGCGATTTCTCTCAATGGACAAGACAGCTATACCACGGACGCAGCCCTCTTCACGTACTATACATCTCCTGGGGCCACTACGTTGTCACCGGCACTGGGTTCGACACTGGGTGGGACGAATGTTCTCGTCATTGGTGGCCCCTTTCGCCCGACGACGCCGACGCGCTGCTACTTTGGATCAAGTTCGGTGCTCGCGCGTTGGCAGAGTCCGATGCAGCTCGAATGCACGACGCCGGCGCAGACGACACCGGGCGTCATGGCTTTCTCCGTTGCCGCCAACGGCATCGATACGGACGCGACGCTATCGTTCACGTATTTTGCGCCCGTGCAACTGCTGGCCGCATCGCCGAGCCTTGTGACCGAAGGCTATTATGGCTCCATTGCACTCTCGGGCGTCTTTCCGTCGGGACTGGGGCAGCTGCTGTCGTGCGCGTCCAACTCGACCTTGATGCCTGCGACGGTTCTCAACACGTCGATGCTGGCTTGTGGGCCCACTCGATGGTCGCAGACAACGTCGCTTGCGGTTGTTGTCGGTAACGACCGCAGCGCAACGACAGTCACTGTATTTGTTTACCCACCACTGAAAATCGAAGCGGTAGACCCGGTGCTCGTCCCTGTCGGCACCGCGGCAACGCGTGTGACGGTCACTGGCGAGCACTTTGAGCCTCTGGCGTCGCTGACTTGTATTTGGAATGGCTCGGTTCTCACACCTGCCACGTATGTTTCCTCCACGCGAGCCTTTTGCGACGTTGACCTGCGCATCACCGATACCGTTGGCGCGATGTCGCTCGCCATGTCTCTGGGCCGTGCCTCGAATGCCTCCAACGCGACAATGGTGTACGTGTATGCCCCACCGACGATCGCGACGGTTGCGCCACGGCACGGACACGGTGGAACCGTTATGCTCGTGACGCTCACGCCGGCGCTGCCGTCTACACCGCTCGCGCCACCGCGCTGTCTCTTTGACGATGTCGCTTTTGCCGGGATTCTACTCAACGCAACGACCGTGTCGTGCACGGCGCCGACATTCTCCGTCAGTGTCTATGCCAAGACAGTCCATGTGTCGGTGCAGATCGATGGTATCCAGGTGCACTCTGGTGCAGCAACCTTTACATTCGATGGCTCAGTGCCCGTAGCATCCATGTACCCGACGATCCTTGCCCTCGATACGTCGGATGCAACAGTAGTATTTGCTACGGCAGCACCACTGCCACCGGCGTCGGTGGTTCAAAGCCGATTCGAACCCAGTGGCGATATCGTCGACTGCCGCATGCTGGGTTTCTCGTATGTGAGCTGCACTGTGCCCCATGGGCGTCCGAACGACACGATTGCAGTGTCGTTGGCCCTCAACGGCCAGGCATTTGTGCCTGTTC